GGCATCAATACCCACACCTCCATCACCTGCAACAACAACATAATCTTGACCCTAAAAACAACATTAAAAGTGGAGCAGATCATGATGGATTACCTACTGTATCTGAAGGCAGGTTTCAGCTTCTCCAGTTGATGGACTGTACTGCAGAAACGGTAGCCTGCTGATGGTCTGAAAGGTAAAACAACAACAAAAGCTTGCTCTGTGGTCAGTGATATGAGGCGCTATAATTTGTAAAACCACCAAAATGGTGCTGGCTGTAGCCCTTAATATCATATTTAATTTCACTCAGGCACAAACAGAGGTTCATTTGCAGTAGACTAAACTTGTTAGTTTCACATGGGAAGTTGATCTAAACAGTAATCACTTTTCTCCCGCCTCCACTGTGTTCATTGAGGTGACCGAATTGTTCCATGTTTCTGAAAACTGTTATTCTCAAGACTTAGGATCTGCTTTGTTTGTGGAGGTGGTTATCTTTGGTGGTGTCTCCATCCGACAATCCTCTTTAATGAGGTTAGAAAACTTAATTTGTTTCCCCCCGCCCCAACCCTACAAAAATAAAACTGTATTAAACTGGAGTGGAGCTTTCTGCTCGCCTCTGTGAACCGCAGTCTTCAGTAATTGCATCTCATGGGATTTAAGCTTCATTTGTTGTCCAGTGAGGAGACAGAATCTCCAGCAGAATACGTAAAACAAATTGGGGGCGTCTTTAGAAAAACTGGCATTTTTCCCTTTTTATACACTGTGCACTCAATTCAACAAATCCCCTTGATCAATAGCTCAAACAAAGCTCTACAAATGCTGTTTTGTTGTTATTGTTTTATTCCATTACATATCTGCATTATATAGAGAGAGACAACTGACCCTCTATTAGCTGAATGTGTCATTTAGTTGCTGATTAACTAGAAGAAACATACATTTATGGTCAAAAGACAATAAGTGAGCAGTGAGTCTCTGAACTGCTTTGTGTTGAGAAACAATATCCCTCCTCCTCTACTGGGTCAAGATTTGATAGTCCAAATTTGCATATTAATTTTCCTTGATGCTGTTCTCTTATATGTGTGGCACCAACTGATAAGAACGTCTTGGTGACAGCCTGTGTATCCAATACAGTGTGACTAGAGGAGATAGCAAAAATCAGTGTGCACAGCTGGGATTCTTCTGCTGGCAAAACGCTGTAATTAAAATTACACTTCCTCCCTCTCACTATAGTACAGTACGAGATCTTGTTCATCATATCAAGCCTATTAAGATTGCTTTCTGTTCATTTTTAATCTATAGGTAGACTCTGTTTCCAAAATTTGCCTCTAATCACGTGCAAGTGGAGCATCAGTATGTCAGAATATTCAAGAGATTACTGGATATATGAAAGTTATCAGTCAGCAGCTATGGTGAGAGAAAAAGATTACTTCTGGCTCCAAAGAGGCAGATTATTTTTGAAAATGTACAACACTGTTTTCACACTTTCTTTGTCAGAGTAAAGGTTACTCTATGTGGCAGTACACCATACATCACTCAAAGTTTTCAAAAAAATGTTTTACAAGAGAGATCTTAGAGTCAAATATTATAACTGAAACTTTGGACAGATTCTGTTAATATTAAATCTGCACTACTCAATATATGAGATATAGTATAGAGTATAATACATGAGAACTTTATTAAAGCTTGGGACTAATTTCTTATAGTTTTGGACATGTCATAATAATTTTGTATTTAAAGTTAATTGTTGACATCTGGGAAGGCCAAGACACTCAGATTTTGCATTTTGGCTGCATTGATGAATATTTCTTTATTAACAATAGCATAGTATAGTAAACATAGTCAATGTATCTTTAAAACGTATCTTATGTGCAAATTACCTTTATAATATTGCTGTCCAATGTTGCATCTACAATACAATACATTAATATGTTGTTTCTTTCTTTAAAAAAAAAACAACTTGATTGACAACGAGATTTTGCATGACAATATTACAACAACAATTTAACAATAAAGTGTATCAAAAGTCAAAGTGCAGAGAATACAAAGAAAACATGTATAAAGTGCATATAAGTAGAGTCCAACGGAAATAGAGGTCTATAAAGTGCAGAATGTTCCATGGGAGTTGCTGAGTTTTATCCAGAGTTTTCCTCCTCCAGAGTTCACTGAATACTTGTTTGATTACTGTGTTACTGTCTATAACGGATCTACCACCACCTTAAACATACAATGCTTATAATAAATTCAGTCTGGTTAGATGGTAGATTATTTCCAAAGATGCCATACATGACAGACTTGTAACACAGATCATAAGTCCAGACTATTTCAACCCTTCCAGACTTCCTGAGCTCTGTAGCAATCCATTAAAAGATGCTATTATGTCTAATCATCATTGCAGTTAATCATTGCACATATTCCTTTGTTCCTCTCGTTTTCCATTTCCATTCATAATCTAAGCTAAAGAAGGTTATATGACACCAGTGGTTCAGAGCTTTTGAAGGATTTACATCTTGTATTAAGAATGCATGAAGACCAAAAGACGCAATGTATTAAACCACAATGATATTATGTATATCAACATGTGAGTGAGAAATCTTCTTTAATCTAATAAAACATAATTTTAAACAAAGACGGATCAGGGTGCAATTACATATGTGACCTTTAAAATGCTCTAAATGTGCTCATCCGCACAGTTAGCATCGCAAAATATGAATAGAAATCCAGAGTAATGAGAAAGAGAAAGAGTGCCAGGGAACCTCATGTTGCGACAGCAGATTAATGAGACCCTAACAGAATTGGATTTGAATATCAATGCTGGCCTATTGCTTAAACTGACATTAATTGCCACCTATTAGATTGGCTGTGCACCCCTGTATTTCACAACAATCACCGCCATTGAGAGATTAGAAGAGAGAAAGGTGGGAGGCCAAGTGAGTGCTCAGAGCTGTATCATTTGTCAGCTGGGGCCGTGTGGCAGGTTTCACAATTACTAGTATGTGTGAGACGGAGAAAAAGAAAACAGAATTGATTAACCAACAGAACCCACTACTGGCCCCTAGAGGTTGAAATGTTAATGGCAGCTCACAGTATAAAGCTGTTGGACTAAGGTCCACTTAATCAAGTCTCCATGATTCTGAGTACCTGTAGGACTATTAACATGACTAACTATCATATCAAGTTGTTGTGGTTCTCATGTTGAAAGAATACATTTTAAGTAAATCTCGCCCAGTGTGAAAGCCTTAGCATTTGAGAGCATGTATAATTTGAAAATTAAAGGATTTCTTGCAGTGACATACAAGTATATCATCTGATGTCATGAGAAGGACACAAGTTTAACTTTTTATTATCTATTTCTGAGTAGAATTTGTAAAATTTTAATGCTTAGATAATGCTATATGCAATATTATTTTTATCTGTACACCAACCAGCCATCACCAGTAATATTCTGGGTTATGTTCATTGAACGTTTGCAAGGTTTTTCAACTTCTCTCTTTTTATAGTATCTGTCAACTCACAACCCTGACCTCTTCCTCACTTTCCACTTCACTACATTCTGTAAGGGGGACTGTAGCCACAACCTGCAGGGCAAGGGTCCCATGACTGACAGTCACTACCTCTAGTAAAGCTAATCTGCTAGCCTATGCGCTAATATTACAATGATGACTCAATAGACCACTCTAAGTCATCATTGGTTCTGATGGTTATTTAAATGTTAAAATTGACATTTCAATAGGATTTCATTATTAATAATGATGTTTGTTGTCATGAAATTCTCGTTCTTTTCTTGAGAATCAGACTTGCACATTAAAAAATGAGACAGAGAATTCTGTAAATGTCGAACTTTGGTACAGAAATGATACATAGATTATATTGAAGGGGTCATTAATTATGGTTAAATGCTGTTAAATACTTGGATTAGTTTGTAAGAATATTCCTGCAGCTTAGTAAATTGGTAGTGAGGTTGGCTTGTTACGAGTCTTTCATTTGTTCATTCTCCTATTTCAAATTCAGTGCACTGATCTCATTTGAATCACAAACGTAAAAGAGTCAGCAGGTTAATTAACAAGCTTTATCATGTTTCTCCCTGTGACGTACAGTCTTACTTACTTATTCATGTTCAATTTTCAGTGGTCTCCGTCCTGTGGCTTTGCAAGTTGTAGTAGTTTGTTGAGAAAAATTATGAGGTGCTAAATCATCAAATATGGACATAATTCCCAGGGATAGAGGTTTATCCGCTTGGGAGCATGAATGTGTTCCGCTGATATATTCATGCTGTTCAAAATGGAAATAGTTCATCCTCTAAAGAGCACATTCAATCGGTCTCATTAGTTCCATTTGCACAAGTAAAGATTTTAGCCTGATGATGCTAGACGAGAGGTCTGGGCCACCAAAAATCATTAGGAATAATCCTCGGGGCACCATGAATGTCTGTGCCAAATTGCAAGACAATGTGGACAATAGTTTTCAGGATGAAAGTGGGCAGACAGAAAGACGGATGAGCCAACCAGCAGACATCACCATCATTAGGGCGCCGCTGTTAGTAGGGCTAAAATGTCACTCCAGCAGAGTCATTTTGCATTTCTTTGACAGTAATCACTGAAAATAGAACGAGTGTTTCATTTGTCTTTCGCTCTCTCTCCCTCTTTATTTTTCTCTCTCCATTCCCCCCCTCCTTCTATTTCTCTTTCTCTTACTCCCAGAGTAATTGATATGATATGAGCACTGGCAAGTGTAATCTTCTTTTAATTAAGACCTGCTGCTGGCACCGGCTTCAGACTGATAGTGACTTACGGCTCTCTTCCTCTCATTTTTCTTCCCCTCTTCTATCATCTTATTTTTCTTCTCTTGCTCCTTCAACTTCGACTCCCTCATCTTTCTCTTGTTATCTCAACAACTCTTTCCTTTAACCCTTTACTTCCTGTCCCTCTTCTTATTATCTACTCGGTCTACCTCTGACATCCTTTGTTTTCTTTTTTCCTCTCTTTGTCTTTTCTCCACTGTGCAATCTTTCTCTTACGCTGCAGTCACACCACCATGAAGAGGAAAAGAGAGCCCTCAGCCGGGAAATCATCGTCCTCAACAACCACCTCATGGAGGCGAAGATCACCATCAATAAACTTAGAGAGGACAACGTGAGTACCCAGGGCTGCATCATGTGGGCTCCCGCTTGTACAGTGAACATTTTTGTGTGATGACACTCCAGTTGAGGACTTGCACAAATTATATTTCACCTGCAGGCCCACGAATTAAACAGTAGGGCATTCAAGGCCACGGCTTTCCTTGCCAGGTCAGTAATCCAGCCTTGTTAGCACCAAAACAACAGCTGGCTTGGGAGACTGAAGTGACAACACTTCAAAAAGCAGTTTTTCCTGATGGAAGCACTTTCTCCTGTCACATCGTCAGCCTTCTCTGTGAACCCACTATTGCTAAAAGTCGCATATCCACTATATTTCTGCTACATCCTGGATGTTTGTGCTTCAAGGAGCCACAGCAGATAGAGGAATTAACTCTAAGCCACTGGGTGTTTTATAGTGATTATACTGAAATCAATGGGCATCCTCAGGGCTGCCAGAATTTGGAGCCAGGGCTGCATGGATCTGAGCTCAGGAGCATGTGGCAATCTGGTGCCTCACTTTCTTTGAAGTGATTTTACTGGTATTTCTACTTACGTTAGGTTAGATTTTATTTCCCTCTTTGGTCTATGGCAGTTTTTAGCACTTCTAAGTTATAGAGTATTTTGACAATTCCCTCAGATCCAGCCAGGCTGATTGGAGTCAAGGTTCATTTTGAATAGGAGGAGAATTTGTCCCATCAGAGCCAGCAGCATGGCAGGGATTTCCTCCAGAGAATAAACTTTGAATTTACTCCTTATAACATGGGATGAAGTAAATAACCTTTCGTGTCTTGCCTGAGACATTCCAGGAACAGAAAAACATCATATTGAATTACATGTCTTACATTTGTGTTACTCTTAAGTGATAAAACCATTAAACCTACAACAGGTTTATTTCCTTAGAGAAATGATTAATGGTCGTACCAGGCACAGACCCAGGGAGCCCCAGGGCCAGAGTCTCTGTTCGTAGTGACGACATTATTTGTTGGAAAGTCAATCAAACGACCACAAAGAGACACAAAAGAGAAATGCCAAATGACAAAGATGCAAAATGATCACAGAGAAATGCAAAACGACCTCAAAGAGAAGTAAAAGAACCATAAAGAGACACAAAATGCCTTAAAAGAAAAGCAAAACAATCATAATGCAAAACGGCTATAAACATACCATGAACACATGAAGATGCAAAGTGACCACAAAGAGATGAAAAAACAACTGCAGCCTTGTCGTTTTTAGATGTGTTGTGTCTCTTTCAGTCTGAGTATTGCTCCTAAGTACCAGACATACATTTCTCTGCCAAAGGGACCATTGTCTCATAATCCGTCCATGCTTATTACTAGTTATTAGATTGCATGAGTACCAGCTTTATACAAAGCCAGAAGAAATTACACTCCTCTAACATAGCCAGAGGTGAGACTAAGTGGACCCTCCTCATTTGTAATATATACATGTATGCTTAAACCTCATCATAAGACCTCCCAAAAAACTGTCTCGCCACCCACTGGTGGCTGAAATTCCCTCGAGAAACATACCACACAACTCATGTTAACTAAGACATCACGAAGGTCTCAAGGGTCGATTTGAACCGTCCACAAAAAACTACAGGGAGCCCAAATGTCCCCAGGTGACAAAATAGAAAAGAAATACAGTGATTTAAGTCATGGCTAACTGGTGGGGGAGCTGAATATGTCAAAGAAAAGGCTTTGATGTAATGGGAAGTATTGTCAGAGCGGTGGTGTGATGGAGGCACGGGGAGGCTACAGTGCAGCTAAAACTGACCTTTATGATTTCACAGAGGATGGAGAGGAAACGAGTGAGCTAAACCAGCTAAACACCCACACAAAACACATGCATTCAGAAACACAGCAAACAATTAAACCAAGCATCTGCTGTGCCAGTAGACCACCCTTACTCTGCTCTGAAATTTAAGTAAAAATCTGAAACAACCATCCATTATAGAAACAAAGCACAGAGAAATAGAAATGCTGCACTAGTTTTTCCTAGGCTGGAAGGTGAAGATAAGTGAATGCACTGTTTCAGACAAGTCTAATAAAATTAGCACAGACTGTACTGGGCAGATACAAGATATATTGAAAATGAGAACTACAACCTAGTGAAATAATATAGCCAAGGTGAAAAATACCTGCTGACTAATTAAACTGTACCAGCTTCAATGGATGAATTTGTTCCTCTGATTTGTCGGGTCACTAAATCAATGAATTTCCTAATCCAGTAAGCGACTTATTGTAATTTTTCAATGGAATACGGCTCGTTATTTATACTACATTATCTATACCATGCTATAAAATTCTCATTATTGAAGAATTGTTACCCTAGTCGTGCCAGACTTCTTGTTTTGTTTCCCATAAAATCCACGATTAATTCATAAACACCTAATAAATAGATAAAAAATAATAAAACTGATACATGATATTGTTAGATTTGTTGTTGCTATACTACCAAGGTAACATTGCATTACTCTATAATTATTTCCACCAGAAGTCCCCTATAATTACAAAATAATTAAACCACAATTAGAAGACTGTTATCTAAAATGATTTTTCCCAGAGGGCGTTCGAAGATAATCCCGCTCGGTCAAAAGCTTACTTGAACCATCAGGCTGCCAAAATGAACAAGAATTTAAAGCATGAATTTAGTGATTGAGGATAATATTTCTGCCTCTTACAGGACCTGTACAGGAAAGACTGCAACCTGGCCGCACAGCTGCTGCAGTGCTCCAAGTCTCACTACAGAGTACACAAGATGTCTGAGGTGAGCTCCCCAACACTGCTGCTACGACTGCATTAATGTGTCCATTCAAACCTGGGCTGCAACAAAAAGGTTTGCTGGCTGGGACAATTTATGAAATAAATACATGAATTGCATAAGTATAATAATGATACAAATTATACATTTGGTTAAATTAAATTCCAGATAAGACTATATGTGTTTTGCTTCCTCCGTAATAGCAATAGGCTGAAAATTGTCAGAATTGAGCAGCTTGATCAGGGCTGTAGCTAGAATTAAAGGTCCAGTGTTTAACTTTTAGGAGGATCTACTGGCAGAAATGGAATAATATAATAATAATAATATTCATAGGTATAGAATCAGCTGTTTTTATGTACAGACACTGCGGGTCGCCTTCCATGGAGTCCGCCATGTTGAAGCGCCATGTTTCTACAGTAGCCCAGAAGAGACAAACCAAACACTGGCTCTAGATATGGGACGTCTGCATTGTTTTGTGGCCACCGTGGTTTCTCCTTTCTCCTCGCTTGGAAGGGGAGGGTGAAATGAGGAAGTTGAGTTCTGCAATACACCAATACACACTGGATCTTTAAGGACACTGAGGTCATAATGTTTATGTTTTATATGGAAATTTAGGGGTTTTAGTAACCTGTGAGGTGGTAACAGTCTAAAATTTAAAGATTACATTTTCTCAAGATGGACATGTTATGCTGATTCCAGTATGTTTAGACTGGATATTTTGAGATTAGACTACTTTTAGGCCCACAAAAAGTACAGAACTGGGTTTGATGTAAGATATTGTTGCCTATGTGATACCTTATTTTGGTTTAGTCTTTTGGTAAGACAATAACCCTTACCCTATCTCCCTGGTTAAATAAAAATAAATAAAATATAATTAAGTTTGGGAAGTGAATATCTTATGTAACTGGGTGTATTAAGGTTCAGTGTAGCATTTTTAAACAGCCAGGACCCTCATGTTGGGAAATCTACTTTACAAAAATTGTAACTTAACTGTTACTGTAACTGAATACATAGAACATATCCAAATAATATATTTTTTAGTGTGGTGGGGTGCATTGCGAGAAAGATGGACTTGTGACCTCAGTATAATTAAAATCCTGCTTATAGCCCTGAGCTTGATGGATAAAATACATCTTGACTGAACTTACGCTAATGCTACTAACAAACTATTCTTGGTGCATTATTTCTGTAACAGGGAGAGCTTCTGTATGTTGTGTCGGCGCACCATTAAAAGCTTTGGTGAATGGTTTTCACAATAAGACACAGTTACAATGCTCATGGCCTCTTCAGTCAGACTGATGACGGTCTGCTGTATTTAGTGCCATCTATCTGCCTCCCAGTTGTGTATAAAGAATGAATGAATGAAAGAAAGCCTGGCCTTAGAGCACACCTGATGCACAAAAGAATTACAGTTTTACTTTACAGCAGTGCTCATAATTGACTAAATCCTTCTCCGAAAGACCTGCCCTATTCACCCTATGTACATTTTCCACTGTTAAGACTGTAAAATGGATATGTGCCTTGTGAAAATGGAAAGCTTCACAGACAGCAGTAACTAAGGGTGGCGAGGCTCAGCAAATGGGCAGTTGAGAAGGGGTTTATTTTATGACGTTACATGATCTCACTTTAAATTTAGAAAAAGGTTATAAAACGGGGAAATGTAAAATCTCTTCCAAATGTGGCGTATTTTGAGGAAATAGCTTTCACAGAATGGCTGTGAATTGCTGGAATGACTAAAATAATAAGTGCCGGTTCCATCATACACCATTAAACCACTTATCTCAATAAATGGAGCAAGACCTGTAGAAGTGTCCGCTGTCACGTGGATTAAAACTGCAAAACTGCGTGACTGTTAATTAAGATTTGCCTCCGATAGCAGCTAATGCTGAGCTAGCTTACTTAGAGCACACACTGTATATTATCTTGTGCTTCCCCCCACAACCTCACCTACTTTCCATCTCTATTCCCTCTGGGAGAGGCAGCGGCTGCTAAAAATAGCTTGACTTAAAAGATGCAGGTTATTTTATGCCGAGGCGAGCTTCTATTTCTTAACAAAGCCAAGTCAGTATTTTATCTTTTTTTCTATTCCCAGCTGGAGACCCAGAGCACTGGTTTCATTTGAATCTAAGCAGTTCCCTGTGGAACTGATATGTGTTTGATGGTAGACAGAATAAAGAGACACTGAGTAAAAAGACAGAGAGAGAGAGGGGGGGGAATGAGGGCTTCTTGGTGAAGAAGGCAGTGGAGAAAGATGAAAGGATAAAGAAAGAGAGGAAAAAAAGAGAGAACTCAGTGGCAGGAACAGTTACTACTGACCCTGACCAGTCTTAATAGGCACAAAGAACCAGTCTGTAATTGACAGGAACAGTTTTCTCAGAAAGAAGCCAATCAAACAGATTATGTGTCTGTCTGCCTGTGTTTGTGAGAGTGAGACAGCAAGAAAGAGAGACAGAGAAACAGATGGGAGAGGAAGGGAGGCAGAGAGAGAAAGAGAGAGAGATTTTTAGATATTTATTCTATTAATTTATTATTTTTATGGAATGACAAAGTTGAGGTAAGTTAACAACAGAAATAAATATTAGAAATAAAAACATGGTTGTGTTGGGAGAAAAGGAAAGCCAACAAATAAATAAATAAAGCTTGTGTTCAGCAATTTTCTGACAAGTTCATTAAAGGGGCCAAATTGTGCAATTCCCCTGAGACACATGAAGTGGTCTGGACTGTGTGAGCTCTGCGAGAATGAATTACTTTCTAAACCAGAACTATAGATTAAAATCCTTAAGGAATGGCTTTAAAAATACATTCAGTGCAAAAACAGAAAGCTTAGAATATGTTTGAGGAAGAGATTCAAGTTGATTGTATAAATAATTAAGAAACGGCTGTTGAGGAATCATTAATTTTTTAGAGATCTTTTCTGGTTATATGTGAAGACCGGCTCAGCAGCTGTCAAAAAAAAAAACAATAAAAACATCTATTGATGTAAGTTTTAGTTATTTTTTCCCCATCTTCATCACAGTTCTTCTGTCTTCCTTGTCTTAGCTGCCGCTGGAGTTCCAGGAACGCATCAGTTCTCACATGGAGAAACATAATCGGGGTAGTGGAGCCACCATGGCAATGTGCCACTCCAATTACTCTGACGCAGTGCCCACATCCATAATTGCCAAAGTCTTGGAAAAGCCGGAACCAGGAAGCAGTTGCCCTGTAACACGCTCACCCAGCCCCCAGCACCAGGATGGAGATTTTCTTACAGGAACAGGGAGCACCGATCACCTGAACCGCCGCATTTCGTATAAGTCATCTGACCTGTACTGCAGCGATACGGCTCTCTACTGCCCTGAACGATGGCAAGATACAGAGCGCAGGCAGAGCGTTGACCTCCATGGCACCAGCCTGCTCCAGCTTCATGCCCAAAACTCCACTGACAGCAACCCAGATGAAGAGCCCTACAACTCTGGAAGTTTCTCCCACCATGAGCCTCCATCCTCCTTCCACCACCACGATGAGTTCGGCACTGGTAGCCTCCCTGCCTCCAGTTCCTACTCTAGCTTCAGCCTTGCATCGGATGAGAAGGGAGGAGTTAGTGGTGGTTGCGGGCGCACTGCTAGCAGCACCTTATCCTCTTCCCACCAGGGTCTCTATATGGACTGGCGAGATGGTGGCAGTGGGGACTATGGGCGCAAAAGCATGTCCTCTTATGATAAAGACAGCCCAAGCTTCCCCAAGTCCCTCAGCATCCAGCACATGGTGACCCCCAGGAGCCCGCAGAAGGGCACCTCCCCAGCATATACAAGGACGGCTTCATGCTTCAGTGAACCGTACCATTCCAGCACTCCCCGCCTGGCCTCCTCTCACAGCATGGGGTCCACAACTGGACTGGGCCAGGCTCGTGGAGGAGCTCTGGACAGCCGAGGTGACATCCAGGTCCCTGACGATGACCTAAGTAGCCGCTGGAGACAGCTCAGTGTGGAAGACATCAACACGTTCTCATCTTCTTACCGTGATATCACAGGACGGGTGTCTCCGTACAGTTTCTCTGAGCGTCACTTTGCCATGGGCCCCTCCAGTAAGGTCAAGGGGTCTCTCTACAGCAGCTTCCAAGAAGGAGATGACGTCTTCCATAGCCGAGTGCTGGACCAGTGTTTCGCTGTGGGTCCCCCTTCACCCAGCCGCAGTCCGAAACCTATGGAGCATCGTAAGCAGGAGAAAACCTCTGTGCTGTACAGAGCCAAGGCTGACAGTCAGGACTCTGAGTGCAGTCTGTTCCTCTCAGGGAGCTCTAAAGAGAAGGAGAGCAGTGGGGGAGCAACGGCAGCAAGCAGTGCCAAGAAGGACTATGTAAATCTGAGCGCAGACAGCTCGGCTGAGTCCCTACACCAAAGCTCCCTCGAAGCCTCAAGTCTTCAACACTACCCCAGCCCCAGGCCGAGTGTCCGGCCTCGCCCGAGCTCTAGCTCCGCTGTCAGTGTCGGCCCCGCACTCCCAAAGAAGACCTCTCCAAGATACCAAAAATTTGGCAGCACGGGACTGACGAGGAAGGACAGTCTGACCAAGGCACAGCTATACGGTACACTGCTGAACTGAGCAGAAAGAGAGAGCTTTTCATTTTATGCATGATGATGATGATGATGATGATGATGATGATGATGATGATGATGATGATGATGATGATTCTTAACTTACTGTACTGTTTGTCTCAAAAGTTCCCTGCAGCAAACACATACATGGTGTGATGGGGTATTAAGATGTTGTTGTTTTATGTATCTCTTAGCCAAGGCACGTTTCATGCAGTCTGCAACACTTTTTCTATTGTACGTCATGCAATGGTGTAGCTACCTGAGACCAGCTATTCATTATGTCTTTGTTTCAATGATAATGATGATAATTAAAGCCACCGGGATAAAACCACGTTGTCTAAGAAATACAACAGAGACCCGGCTACATGAACGTACTGTGCTATTTGCTCTTTTTTTTGGTGTTAAGTACTGTTAGTAAAACCAGCAAAAGACCATTAATTCCTGCTCTAATATATACAGTATAGATAATGGACTAAAGCGCTTGTAATGGAGTGACTTAATTACACTTGTTTGGGAGAGGGGAGTAGTGGACCCTGCTGACTGCAAGCTGTTAAAAAGATTTATTCATTCTCTATTTTCTCTTAAACAAGATGCATGCCTTATAATGCAAGAGACATTTCCACTTACTAAAAAGGATGTTTTAATAAGGTTATTAATTGGCTAAATAAGAGATATAAAAACTATGTATTTTATTCAAATGCCATGTAGTAACAACATTTAGACTCCAAACTGATGTTAGACTCATGTTAACTGGAAACTTAAAACTTAAAGATCCCAGATTTTGTTTGTTGGAATAAAATTAATTAAATATATATATATATAAATTTGCCTATAAATGAATTACAATAAGTTTCCAGGTGAAATGTAGAACAAGAATTTTTAGCGTTACTCAATTTTTATTATTTTTGTATCAAAATGAGATGATGAAATCTGAGGCTGTACTGTACAGTAGTTGCCCTCATACCAGGACACTTGCAAACTTGCCTTAATCCTGTTCAGTGGACAGAATGGTCTCCTTTACAGCATCTAACAACTGTGTACATACTGTATATCGGCTGTATTGTTACTGTATGTATACACTACTGTTAAAGCATATGTTCTTCCTGTCAGAAATAACACATACATGCCCCGTTTCTTGAAAAGGATCAAGTCTGTTCTTAAACTGGGGATATTTTTAAGTGGAGATCTTAATTTAACATTTGTTTTTTTTTAATTTAAAGACAATGTGGCTTAATTCTTGCCTAAAAATATGGCACACACACACACACACAGCCAAATTTCTTCCCTGACACAAACTCTTAAATACTGTTGGCGCTAGTTGCACAAACCAAAACATAAAGTGCTGGATCTTCTACTTTTCAGGAGAGATTAATTGGAAAATACTCCAGGCAAGCTGGCATGTTCATAGCAAAGTGTACTGACAAGGTAGTAAAAACCGACTGATAAAGGACAAAAATGTACAGTCAGTGTGTTGTTTTTCAACCAGCATGCTTAATTAGGCTATTTTAGAGAAAACACTGTGAAAATAGACAAAGCGTGTATATATACGTACATAGACAGTGGCAAAGACATGCTGTCCTGTTGGTTAATAAAGCTAATTAAAATAAGACCCTGTCTTATGTTAAATAAAGAGTTGCGGAGATGTGTGTCCTGCTGCCCCACAATCATGCTACCATCTGCTACTGCTACTAGTATAGATGGGGACAAAACGACAATGCTCCAACATCTGTGGGCCCTTTGGCATGATAGATCTTGAGGGATTTCTTCCTGCCTGCATGGCTCTATAGATCTGAGAGGAATGGCGACAGGGATAAGCCAAATAATGGGAACTCAGCTTTGCCCTCCAGTTAGTCATGAATAGATTTTTCTGGAAGGCCGTGCTTCTACCTCTCCCATTCCTGCAGATCTGGGAACTGGCTTAAGGCTGTTTTTTTTTTTTTTTTTAAGATTTCAAAACTGCTTCTCCTCTTTTTGACCTTGTCGTGTTCATGAATGTGAAACCGCTCCACGCAGGCCACAAAAAAGTTGCCAATCATTTTCTTATTTGGTACAATGTATAAGTATCTAAAGGGTTGAACGTGTTTGGAATTAAATTTAGCCCATGTACAGGGGGATTGAGAGAATGTATGGTATTTTTTGTTGTGGATATAATGTGTAAAAAGAGATACAGATACTACATACAAAATGGTTATTACACTATGACTATTTTTTATCCAGTTTCAGTTGATGTTATGTTTATCAAATGTTTTGACCCTGAATGAACAGGCTGAAGCGGTTCTGTCCTGTCCTACCTCCAGCCCTGTTCCAGGAACAACAGGCCAGCTGTCTAAATGTCAACATGTTTGTCTGTCTGATGCATGGTTATATATTTTTGCTGTATGTTTATTTACTTAATAAAGATGGGTGTTGGGAAGTACATTGCGCTTGTTTTGCATTACTTATTTCAAGAACCTCAAACGTTAAAATCCCAGGAATGTCACAGCTTCCTCAACTGACTGTAGCCACTCCTGAATTCATTATTCAGCTCTGTGAATCTCTTGCTTAAGCTTTATTTATCTCGTCCTAAATTCCTGGCATGTTTTTTTTGTCGTCCTGTCAAAATTTCGATGAGTGCAAAGGTTAGTGTTAGCCAGTGAGCAGAGGTTAGCTGGGGAACACTGGAGTTGAGAGTTTTGTTTACATTTTGTTTGTTTGTTTGTTTTGAGCCTGTCTTTTGCCATTACTCAACTGTTTTTGTTCCTTTTAGGACAAGTTTCAAGAGTTGTATTGATTTAAAAGGCTCCTTTTAAAATCTGGTGATTTTTTCTGAAATTGCCACACTCAGATGTGCAAGGAGTTTTCAGATCCTAGAAATATCTTTAATGATTTTGGCATTTATTTTCCCCAAAGATTCCTCTAAACTGTCTTAAACACTCACTGTTTGAGCACTGAACAGACACCTACAGTATCACCATAATGGTTAATGAGAGGACTTGTGTGGTAAGTTAAAAATGAACTGTTGCTTACCTGTTGAACACCAGAGAGGCAACACCATCTTCAAAGATGTGTCAGTCCTGAAAAGGCCCTCCAACGCTCACCCAGGTTTCTGCCAACTTGAACTTTATTCTTTGGTCTTTTTCACCCTTTTGAGGCCATATTGTTTCATTCTCTCTAATTTGTTTTGATGTGATAGATAGAAGAGAAAGTAAAAACGGACAGACTACAGCAAACAGCCATAGTTCTTGTCATTTAGCACATGGGCAAGAAATTCTATAGCGTATTCTAAGGACTTTTTATACTACATACTGAATAAAGATCACAAGCATCGGCATGCACTTCACCATTCTGTTGTTGACTGGCAGGATTTTGGAAGAACCTGGCAATGTTTTGACAGATGTCTGCATATTTTTTTAGTTCTCTGGTTGTCTCTCTGTGATGCTCTAAGCTGTCAGTGTGAAAGGAAATGTCATATCAGAGCCGGTGAGAACAAAAAAGGCATACAGGGAAAGTGATGTGTATTCAGAATGTGGAATGAAAAAACACCACTGATTAGAAAATGCCCGAAGAGATTTCTTTTTCTTCAAGAACATGATGATAAAGTCCCTAGCTGTTTTTGGAGTGGAAAGCGGACTATGAAAGCATTAAGGTTGTGTGTGGGGCTAGACTGCTTTCTCATAACCTACTACTTTAGATAAAACTCATTATAGTTCACAGTATTTCACTCTTTGAACTGTAAAGAAACTTTCTTTGATCTCATTCGCTGATTTCAAGATGTTAAAACAATGTTAGATGGGCCAAATATGAATAACATACTTACAGTAAGGTTTACACAATAGTCCCTGTTCTCGTGCCAGTGTCAGTTCATATCAATAGGAATGAAGATGTGGGTGGGTTTCAAAACAATATGAAAACATAGCAAGATACACAGTGTAAAAAAAGCTGAAACAGCAGTCAATAGACAGTAGATTAGCTGCCTTCCAGAATTTATTGCCAAGTGCTTATCATCTTATCCCAAGAGATTATGGGAGATAACGTCTTGAAGATGAATGTGAACATGAGTTTTCAGTTTAATATAGTCCTCTCTTGGCCAACCTGCTACATCTTATAAATTTTAAGTCTATATTTGCTTGTTCATTCCCAGTCCTTAGTGCCAGACCTTGATCTCCCCAGCCCAGTCGCAGGTGGCCGCAGTAGCAGGCAGGACGGGATGCTGAGACACACACAGGCAGGGCTGGCTGTGGGCCTGGAGGGTGTGCAGCGAACGAGCATTGTGGCAGTCGTAGAAGTGAGCAGAGCCCGTGGAGCTTCCTGAGGCCAGAATAGTTCCATCTAGAGAAAACTCGCACTGCACCGCGTATCCCTCCACCTAGAACGAGGATATGTGTGTTAGTCGAGATGCATTAACCTTCTACCAAGAGCCATGTTAACATTAGCATAATAAAATGTCAGCACAATAACTGGATTGCTATCCAGTTGATTACAGACTTGAGCGAGCTAAATGTTAGAAAAGCATGATCAGAAAGTTGCTGATTCAATCTGTGAGGGGGAAGTGAAAGAGCAGTGCTTGCCTCTGCCTTGTTATTACCAACAGGGTACCCTTGAGGTAAGGCACTTAAACCTCCCACTGCTCCAGGTGAGTGTTTGTGACTGAGAGCCTTACAGGTGTCAGAGTATGTGACTTTGGATTGTATTTTGGATTAGGGGTGGGCAATATGGTAATATTTATTTCTATTTTAGACAATAGAAATGTGTGAACTGTTTCTACAGAGGGGCCCATCCCATCTTTAACATCTCTTCACCAGATTAACAGACTTTTTTTTTAATAAACTGTTTCTCAATTGAATTTCCAGGAAATAGCAGTCTGTATAGAAATGAATACAATCTCCTTACTGCGTTTAAAAATGTGACACTATTGCAATAAAAGTGGCACCACATTCCCATTGCTGGCTGTGATTAAAGGATAGTTTAGGATTTTTTAAAGTCTATATTACTGCAATACCCACAGGTCCGTGTGCAATGTGTACTGAATATGTGTAAAAGGGTAAATTTGATGAATTAAAAATATATATATTTTGGAAGATAACCACTTGAGTTGTCTAACTCAGGATTCAGAGGCTAATTATTTGCTTAAGCTGAAGTTGAGAATGTATTTTGGCACAGAAAAAGGACTGTGGATTTGTCTCTTATTGCTTACATTACATTAGAAACTAATTTGGAAGAGAAGGAACCAATATGGACAGGAGGAATTACTTACAGTACAACTACAACTACACCAATAACTTTCAATGTACATATGCACACGTGAGTACTGTATAAAGTTATACTTGAAAAAAGATCTGAACACAACCTTTGTATACATTTTTGATCACAATAGCCAGTTGCTATCAAAAGATGACTGACGATGACTTTCAGGGTGCAATAAAGTATTGATAGTAAAGGTTGTGCGATACACTGCTTGCTAACATATGTACTCTGTTAGAAGTGTTTGCTTCAAAGTTTTATTTATAATAAAGAAAACATGAAAGGGGTTGAGAAATGAAATGTCTTTGTGTTTTCTGGAATGTTTGGTTTTGTTGTTGCTGTGTTTTGCACCAAACAATACATTTTTTTTTTTTTTTTTAAAAAGACAGGAACATAAGATATCAGTTTGTTTTCTGTCCATTTTAGGATTTTTTTGAATCGACAAACCAGATGCCACAGTATCGGTTCAACATGATTGCAGTGATATTTGACAGTTATATTCTGCTCCGTCTGTGTCACTCTGTGGAAATATCGTACTGTACTTGATGCGTTTGTTTTGGGGGGAGGGGTCTACAGGGGAAACACTGCAGGCTACAGATTCACTGAACTTGCCATCTATGTGTTGTGTAGGTCACAATGAGTATTTCATCTGCATGTGTAGGTTTATTCCAGTGCCTTTGCAGAGTTTTGTGTGAATGTGGGATGCTGTTGAAGTTGTGAGTGTACATTCTGAATTGATCTGCGCAACCCGCCCACCAACCTCCCTTGAGGCCACAGTTGTTACTGACCTTGTGTCCTTCGTATCGCCGCCTCTTGTTCATCCTATAGGGCTGCTGGGAGGAGAACACTGCCATGTAGTTCCCATTGGTCTGGGCAACAAAGGACTCTTCCAGTGGGTGGAGAGCCAGGCTGGGGCACGTGTACCGCTCCTGGTGGCCAAATGAGTGGAGGGAAAAATCCAGATGAAATTTATTTATTATTTGACCTTTTCTGTTACTAACCATGAAGTCAGCTGCATGTCAACTAGACCATTAATTTGAGAAAGCCTGATGTGCAGTGGGTGGACAGAAACGCTTCATAATATAATGCAGTCAATCTGGTACGGTCATATCAGATTTTAACAGAAATGTAAGCTGCTGCAGTTATTTTGTCCATCTTTTCCTCCATGAAAAACTACTGTATGAAGAGCAGTATGAATACTTTACAAGACTCCTGAGAGTTCAACTTGCAGAAACACTAATTGAGGGATAAGAATTTATTCAATACAAAAAAAATACAAAAAGTTATTAAAATCCCATTTTTAAAATAGGTGGCACTCAGTAAAGCGCACACTTCCACCAGCACCATGTAACTGTCAAAATATGCTGGTTCCACACACCTCATTACCAACTTGTTTCACATCAGGGGGTTCACACATTTCCAGGAATGTAACCTTAAATGGCAAATGTGATTTGCCTGCTAAACTGCTTTTAAGCCTTTTAGCTGATAATTTCAACATCACACGCCAATCAGAACTGCATTTATTCAGGGTTATTTTTTTCTCACACAGATTTCCTTACATGGTAGATCTGGTTGGAGACCTTGGCTGTGGTCTGGTAGTCCCAGGCGACCAGAGTGCGGTCAGCAGAGTCTCTGCTTACGCAGTCAGTGCTTGTTATAAAGTCCACACCACCTCTCAGAAACAAGATGTCCAAGGTCTGCTGGATCCCTGCTTTGTACATGTTCACCACCTGCAAACGCAAAAGTAGCATCAAACCCTTTAAATTCACAGTAAGGAATCATACGATGTAGTGGGATGTGTAACTGACTAAACAGGTATCTAAACCACAACTGGTACATTTAATTCAGTTATAATTACTTTTGGAGCCATCCATGACTCTTTTATAACACACTATGTTTCTAGTTTGAATACACAACATTCATGGCACTTAGCTCAGCAGAGCATTTAACAGGAAGGAGGGGAACATCTGGACCTCGGCCCTTAAGGTGGGATGACAAGATGAAAACTACAGTGTGTCAGTAGTCCCGGCCTATAAAGACATATTGTCACTCACTTGCCCTGCTGGGCTAGATGACCCAGCACTGTTATTAGAACATACACATAGTAATCTGCTGTATTAGGGTATAACCTGCAGCTCTTCTCTCTCTCTCTCTCTCTCTCTCTCTCTCTCTCTCTCTCTCTCTCTCTCTCTCTCTCTCTCTCTCTCTCTCTCTCTCTCTCTCTCTCTCTCTCTCTCTCTCTCTCTCTCTCTCTCTCTCTCTCTCTAGCTACTACAACCTAATAAAGGCAATAAAAGCCCAAAAATAATCTGCAAAAAAGAACTTTACATCCTCTTGAACACTGGCCTGGTTACAGACATCAGGATTGCTGCTCACATCTCAGATTTTTTGAGCACTTAATTTTCCATTAATTCAGTCTCATTATCAGGAGAAAAAAATGTGGGTTGAGATAAGATCATTTCAGATTTTAATCTTTGCCCACGGTATACCACTTTGCAAGCACTTGGCATCAATTAGTCAACTTACTGATTTGTCAATTGACATACAATGAGCAACTATTTTTTATAATCAAGTCATCGTTTTTGTTATTTTTTTCTATTTCTATTTTTTCTCTGGTTCCACCTTCTCTAATGAGAATTTTAGGCTAAACGCCAGTAAATGAGAGAGGGTATCTATTGAATGGTCACAGTCAATTGTGAACTAGAAAAGTGTTGAGTGAATGCCTTTCTCATTCTAAGAGAACATTTTCACAGTGCAATTGATCGGATTAGGTTTACTTTCAGAGCTACTCAGCGAACAGCTAGCAGCTACACTCTGCATGGGAGAATTTAGCCTTTAACCCCTAAACACAAGTTTGACTGCTCTCCTTCTACTTTGTAATTCGAACCAAACTTTTAACTCTTATTTGAGTTTTAATATAACATAGTATAAAAAATCTCATGAATCCAGTTCAACTTCATGAGTCCGTTTGGAAAGACTTCAGGCTAATGGGTTAATGTGGGGTAATTTCACCCCAGAGCAAGAAACACACAGCCAAGGGCTTAGACTGACAGGCAGCTAGGATGCTACAGCATTAACAATCTATTCGCTGAAGATGGGTCCACGCTTACTCTGCAGCTCCCATTGACACCTACTGGCAGAAGCAATCTCTGCTGTATTAAATCTAAAACCCTGCAGGGAAACAAGTCAGTTTGCTGCAGGGACAGAATTACGTGTGAGCACTCATATTCTGAGGAAGTGAATAGGATTATCATATAAAACAGTCCATTAAGCTTAATAGCAATATTAGGTTGCAGTTTCGCAGGAACGATTTACAAGTCCCGAATGAAATTAAAATTTGCTTTGAACAATTAGTGAGATAATCTGCAGTGTTACTCCAATGCATGCAGCAATATTATCCTTTTAGTGAAATATAGCATGGGCCATTGTGCCCGGCCAGTGTTGACTACCTTCTTTGCACCAGTGTGTAACTGTGGGTGTGTGGGTGGGAGCTCTGGATGAGGAGCATGTGTTCAAAGCCTGCCTACCTGCCTTAGATTTATTAAAGGTCAAATAACAGTCGGTGAACCAGAGTCAATAAAAATGATAAATCTACTCTAAGGAGGTTAATAAGTTTGACCTTGCAGCTGCGAGAGTCCCAGGCCTTGACCACTGAACTGTAACCTCCACACAGGAATACATCTGGGTTGCTGGGATGCAGGACCACACACATCACCTTGAACTGGTTGTTCAATTTCACCACCTGCTGACCTTCAGACAAGAAGAGAGAGGGAGAGAGAAGAACAAAAACTCACCTTTTTAAAATTGTTTTTAATGTTTAGCTTAGTCTAATGTGTTTTTAGTGTTTTACTATTTGATGTTGTTTAGCAGCTTTTATGTTTTTATGTAAAGTGTCTTTGAGTATGTAGAAAAGCGCTTATAAATAAAATCTATTATTATTATTAACAATATTAATGAATTTTCAAATAAGGAAACAACAATGACTCAATTAAAGATAAAAATAAAGTTTAGCAAGGTAACGGCAGAGGACAATTTATATTTACAACTCAGTTACCACGTCCTTTAAATCACTTATATCTCCAGTACATTCTCTCCAGAGGTAGGGTAGTGGACAATAGAAGATATTTCTTTCATAATCTTCTGGATCCATGAAACAATACTTTGTCTATTAAGTGATGATTTATTTTCTGAGTATGATGCCTCCTTGCTTCTGAGGAACTCATTTCTGACCCCTTGCTGGTTTCTGTTTTCTCTGGGCCCTAACATTTCCAAAGCTGGCAAAGCAATCACCTTATTGCTGTTAAATCTCAACTCAGGAAGTATCACTCCTTCTGCTGCACACACACATCTGTCTGCACAAAAAAAACTCAGCATGAATGAGTGTATAAGTGTTGCTAAGCTCCTTTGATGTACTGTATGGGATTTTGCAGAGCCAAACTAAGAGCAAGTGCATTTTATGTGTTTTTCTATACATTCAAAAAGAAAGAAAAGACTCAGACTATTAAACAAACTGTTTGTATGTGTATGCAGTATGTGCTACATTAAAAGTTTGATTAGATATTTTGTCTATCTCAGCTGTCAAGACTAAACTAAACACAACATACATTGAACAACATTTCCCCTGAGATGCAAATTCTGCTTAAATTTCTCTTTGGTTTATTAATTGAGTTGCTGCGGGATTCAAATCCTCCTTGTGAGGCGGCCATTAGATTCCTGCGCAGTAAAGTGTGCCGTCACCCTTTGCTTATAAACAGTGATTCGAAAACAAGCCCACTGATAAAAGATACAGTAAATCTTGCTGTAAGTTGCTGCCAAAGATAGTGTTCCCAACACGGGGCCACCTTCTGAAATTCATGAAGGAATGATGTTAGAGTAAAAGGATGAGAGGCTTCCTGTGATCACCTCAGGTCAAAAGCAGGGTTGTCTACATGGTACATCCATCAGTTTTTTATTAGTCTTTCTGTCACAAAAAAAATCTTCATATAATCTCACACAAAACCATGTCAAGTTTCTTGTGATGAAATGAAACATGTATTTATATCACTGGATGCCCCAGAACAGTCCAACAACTGAACTGTCTGTCTTTAACTCATTTTAATGATGGTGGGTGACGGGACTCACTCTGAGATACTTACAGACAGCAGCCCATCTAGCATATCAGTCTCTATAAAGGGCTACTTGATTTAAACATGAGACAAAGACAGTGATGGGAGTATGAAAAAAAAGAAAAGAATATAAAACACTGTTTTGGCCAGAGGCAGCTTTATCTAAATCAATTAAAAAATGTCATACTTAAAAACAAAACAAAAACACCAAGGGGCTTAAATATAATTAAGGCTGACAGGGTGCGACCAAAAATTAGTTTCTCGGGAAAATGATGAAGAAGGAGGACACAAGGAACTGAGCCAAACTATGAGCCAGCAGCTCTGTCAAAGGCTATGCAAAGTAGAACACCTCAGGGTTTAACGGCTCCTCATTAATTCAGCAAACAAACAACAAAGACCCCATCCAAAATAGTCTTAGGCAGTTAGCCCACAACAAAAATGCACTTCATTACACACTTGTTCCAGGATATTCCCGCTGATTCTTTTTAGAAGGGGGAATGAGTCACAGCTAATAAACTGCAGCAAAAATGGACTTTCTTTCACTTAATGGAGGGCTAGCATGCTCCCAAATTCGATTGCATTGATCCAAAGTTTTAACAGGCAATTTCGTCGGGCTCACGCTTCCTGCTTAATTGGCTTACCCGCAGTGATACGGGGGAGATCTGTCATCGAGATTTAAAACTCATGTTTGGCAAGGCGACGAGAAATCAACATTCTCCTCATAATAAATAGAGCCTCGTCATGTTTTAATTAAGGAAGATTAATTAGCCTGCTTGAGAGGGGAGATAAGGGAAGACCGCAGCGATCTGTCGCTCCCTCACGATACTTTACTTTGTAGTCCTGAAAGAACTGTGATCGTGCTGTGGAGCTGACACACAGTGGATGACTACAGCGCAGAGGACATTAGGGATGATTGGGATGGCGGGGGTGAGCCCCTTAGAGTAGAGGGAAGCTGGGATGAAATGGATATTCTGCCTCATTACCAGATCCACCAAAGCAGGGTGCTGTCACTGCAACATCAGCAAAGGTTATAAGCACATTACTTGGATTTGACAGCCATATCCCAAAAAATATTTTAAAAATAGGCATAATAAGCCACATTTGTAACTAGTTTGATGTTTAACAAGATATTTCCCATCACGAAAGTGGCTTAGTCCTGATAAATGAGAAGGTGAGGAATCTTAAAATAACTGAATCTAAATGTATTAAATTCATCTTCATTAAGTATTTCATGTGCTTCCTTCAAAACTGTACAGCGAGATTCAAGACCTACTGTGTCGCTATATAGCTTCTGATCCTGACACCAAAGATAATAAAGATTTACAACACGTTAGGAAGCAAGTGTGAAAAACAACTGAAATCTAGCTTGACAAAAAGCCCAAACTTAGGTCACATGATAACAACTCAACTGTCTCCATGACAACTAAGCAACTCCATCTGCTGAGGATGGCCCCCGAGATGTGGAGGAAAGCTTTGGAAACACAACGTAAGAAGACCTTGCGTTGTTTCTTTTTAGTCAGGCTGCTGTTTGCAAGTACGAGAATGAACCTTCAAAGCTCAACTGAAATCGAAGTCCAAAACAAACAAGGTGAGGAAGCGTCAAGCCTTCGGTATCTGAAAAGAGTCACATATTGCCACCGCAGCACGCATGCACAAGCACTAACCTCCTATGCAAAGGACAACTGAGCTTCATTTAGGAGGTGTTTATGCATTGTAACAGCAGATTTTCCTTGATAGTTAAGGCTTGAATCTGTTTCTGATCTTATAAATAAATGACCTGTTAAACTAGCATAAAAGGAGAGTACAAAGTCCTGCATACCTGGATTTTGGTGAAAGCATAAGTGGGCAACAGTTATCACTCTCGTTTCCCATCAAGGGTTGTTGATGACACAAGTGTTGCAAACTGCACTTAACATACTGCAGACATTCACTCGGGTATAAAGCATATTTCACTGAGGGGAGAGGGAGATGGGGCCCTCAAAAAATATCAAGTTGTAGGCAGCTCCACAACACCAAATGCTCAGACTTCTGTAGACACATTCCCCTACATGCTGGATGCTTTTAAATCATATCCCCATAGTAGCATATACAGTATACACAGCACTGAAGTAAGTTATGAATGTAACCACCACAGAATGTAAAACAGGGGTCTGTTAGTTTTTTTCTGTCATATAACATGTAAAACCTGTGAACCTGGCAGGTTCCCGCTAGAAAATGAAGCTTTCGAAGTAGGTCAAAATGTAGATAGCTTCTCTGTGTGTGTGTGCACTGTTGCATGCTTTGTCTCCTGGTGTGCAGTGCTTCAGGCTCCTGTGTTTATACAGACACATTGTACTGGTTACCTACCTAAACATGTGAAGAAGGTGTTAACTGGTGGTAAAAAATGAAAAATATGGAAGACAATATATTAATTGTACACAATTCATTCAGCCAGTATTTTTTTTAATTAATTAAATAAATAAATAAATAAATAAATAAACAAACAAACATGCTACTATAATACTATTTGGAACCTTACAGAAAATGAGTATAGAATTCAAACATCTGGATCATTCAAACTAGGTTATGATCATATAAAGTGGCAGATTTTGAAAACAAAATTCCTACAAGACTGAGAATGAGCACTTTTTCCACATGGATTACATGGTTGGCTCAGATATATACTGAGGTGTTACGTTTAAAAAAAAAACTGTGGCATGACCCTGAGTCAGTGACTCATTATTTTGCCCTTGCACTACTGGCACAAACTCTAAATTGCCCAGAGGTGTGACTGAACGGTGTGAATGGTTGTCAGTCTCAATGCGTCATCCCTGTGATTGACTGGCAACCTGTCCAAGGGGTACCCCACCTCTCGCACAGTGTCAGCTGGGATCGGCTCTAGCCCCTCTACAACCCTCTAAAGGATAAGCAGGTATACAGTAGCTTTTGAATGAATTTATGGAATACTAGCACATGTAGCTCATTCATTAAAAAATAATGCATTGCAATAATGTGAACTCTGCTTACAAATGAACTGCTGTTGAAGCCTTTAGCTACATTCATCAAATATGATTCTGCAAAGCCAAAGTGAGGTGGAAGGGCAACGCACAAGCCCACTCCAGTACTGGCACGGAAAGTAAGGATGATTCTCCTTTCTGCCAGTGCCTAAAGGGATCTGGACAGAGAACTCAAGTTTTGCATACACATGCACAAACAGACACGTCAACCTGTGGCAGCTTGTGGGTAGGTGGGCATATTTTCCTCCGCTAGTCTCCGCCAATCAGCTTTTCCAAGGACAGGCGTGAAAGCACTGGACAACAGCTGCCACTTCACACTAATGCCCTGCAGATGAAATTCATTTATTCCACTCCCCAGCTCCTGCTCTCTCTGTTTCTCTTTCTCTGAATTTATTCTGCCTCTTCTGATTTCTTTCCCTTGCGTTCTTCCTCTCCTGTCCCTTTATCTTTCTGCAGTATGCCTCTTAACCTGCTCTCCCTCCCTATATCCTCCTCTCCCTCCACTATTGCTATTCAGCTGTGATAGCCTGTCTGTGCCCACTGGGAGTGGATATAAGATTGTACAAATTAAATTGGACACAGGAACAACTGCAAAGATTTCCAAGGAAAATGGGCACACACACCATTCTGGATGCATAGGCTCCTCTATAATTCCATTTCTCTGTAAACATACCAACTTGTGAAGCATTTGGTTAGGTTATGCTGTGGTGAAATACGGGGTCAGGCATCCCTACAAGACACTCTACTAATCATTAAAGGGCCTGCACACATCTCCAAAGAGAGCTCGGTTGAACAGAATAGGCCCAGCTGCCTCCGTTGTTAGAGTTGAGAGGCTCTGCATTACTGTGAAGAGTGTAAAGATCAAATTCATCCTGATTACAGTCTGACGTGGCAAACACCCAGTTCCCTCCGTATACCATCACCCATGATAGTGTTAACACTAATGCTGCATGAATGTTTGGAGCTTAGTTTGTTTTTTTAATATCACTGTCAAATATATATAAAAAAACAAAACAAAAAAAACTTCCCTCTCGCCCTCTTGGGGTGGTATCTGTGTCATCCTCAAGCTCGGGTCCTCTACAAGAGGCCTGGGAGTTTTAGGGTTCTGCGCAGTATCTTAGCTGTTCCTAGGACTGCGCTCTTCTGGACTAAGGCTTCTGATGTTGTTCCTGGGATCTGTTGGAGCCACTCCCCCAGTTTGGGGGTCACTGCCCCGAGTGCTCCTACTACCACAGGGACCACGCTTGCCTTGACCTTCCACATCTGCTCCAGCTGTTCTTTCAACCCTTGGTACTTTTCAACCTTTTCGTGTTCCTTCTTTCTGATTTTGGCGTCTGCTGGTATGGCAACATGCATCACCACCACCTTCTTCTGCTCCTTGTCTACCACCACTATGTCTGGTTGGTTGGCCAGGACCTGTTTGTCAGTCTGGAAGCTAAAGTCCCACAGCACCTTGTTGTTCTCAGCCATCTTCTGTGGTGTGGCCCATTGGGATTTGGGTACTTCTATTCCATACTGGGTACAGATGTTCCTGTACACTATTCCAGCCACTTGGTTGTGTCTCTCCATGTACGCTGACCCGGCTAGCATCTTACACCCTGCTACTATGTGCTGGACTGTCTCAGGGGCATCTTTGCATAGTCTGCACCTTGGGTCAGATCAACTCTTGTAGATCTTGGCCTCTATGGCTCTTGTACCTAGGGCCTGTTCTTGTGCTGCCATGATCAGTGCCTCTGTGCTGTCTCTGAGTCCAGCCTTTTCCAGCCATTGGTAGGTCTTCTTGATATCAGCCACTTCTTCAATTTGGCGGTGGTACGTGCCATGTAGGGGCTTGTCCCTCCAGGTTGTCTGCTCCTCTTCCTCTGCACTCTTATCAGGTGTTGCCTGAGACATTCACTTAGCAGTTCATCCTTTGTGGCCATTTTTCTGATGTACTCTTGAATTTATGATGTTTCATCCTGGCTAGTGGCCTTGATGCTCACTAGTCTTCGGCCTCCCTCTTTCCGCTTAGCGTACAGTCTCAGGGTGCTGGATTAGGGGTGAAACCCTCTGTGCATGGGGAGGAGCTTTCTTGTCTTGATATCTGTGGCTTCTATCTCCTCCTTTGGCCAGCTTATGACCCCAGCAGGGTATCTGATGACTGGTAGTGCGTACATGTTGATGGCTTGGATCTTGTTCCTGCCATTCAGCTGACTTTTCAGGACCTGCCTTACTCTTTGGAGGTATTTGGTTGTGGTTGACTTCCTTGCGGCTTCCTCATGGTTTCCATTAGCCTGTGGGATAGCAAAATACTTGTAGCTGTCTTGGATATCACCTATGTTGCCCTCTGGTAGGTCAACCCCTTCAGTTCTGATCATCTTGCCTCTCTTTGAGACCATCCGGCCACACTTGTCCAATCTGAATGACATCCCTATGTCGTTGCTGTAGATCCTGGTGGTGTGGATCAGTGAGTCGATTTCTCGTTCATATATATATCACACCTCGGTGTAGCCCCGTTATGAGTCATATCTGTCAGAAATATAAACTATGAGGCAAATTACGTATGCAGCTTGGTCTCTATGTGCTTTTCACTGCTTGAATACTGTATGATTGGTTTTAAAGTGTCAGTGCAGAGGTCTTAGCTGCAACACATTCAAGTGCACTACAATTGTTCAGGAACTGGGGTGGAATTCCCAACTCCCATATTAATATGCAACTAAATTACATTTTCTTCATTTCGCGCTGCCATGTGAATGCATGCTTATTGCTCTGCAGCGCCAGCATGTGTCTGCGGACTACTCATCCTCAGAAACATTATGGGTTGTTCAATTTTCATACAAATAAATAATAGTGGTAAGATAATAAATAAGAATGATAAGAAATCATTCAGAAACAGAGCAGGATTGATGTGTGAGGGATCTTTGGATGTCTGACATTAATTTAAAGCTGTTAGTTTGACCCCACTGGGACATCATACGGAGCAGAGCAAGCCACCGGTGGCTACCAAAGTATTAGACCAAAATAAACATTTGTTTGTTTATGGTTGTGGTTTGTGACGTTCCAGTGTAAGGTCATGGTGGCTGCTCCTGTGGTGATGTATCCATTATTGATCCCCTTCCTGGAGCTGCCTGTGTGTTTAATGGGCTGGCGAAGCTATTATCCGTAGGCTTTATTGGCAGTATTGACAGACATGCTGAGAGGGGAAGTGCAAACGGCAGCAAGTCATCACAGCGATGTGTTGACCCAAGAGATGTTGCCACAGGGGATTCAAAACAATGGCTATTGTATGTTGTCTTTGGGGTCTTTTCCTACATATATGAACACTACAACATACTCCATCAACTCTTGGTGAATGGACAGAAGGGACAAATATAAGGAATTTGAGACTCTTCAATCTTTTCATTTTAAGCAGAAATCTGATGTTTTCTCTGAATTCTTACTAAGATTTTAAATTTCAGCTGTGTAGACAATCAGGAATTGTTTCACATGAATGAAATAAGTGAACTGCTGAACAAGCATATCTCCTTGTTTTACATTGTCTGTATGAGTTGTTCTCATCTATTCAGCCATGCTTGTTAAATCTGCGCTCGGGCAAGAAAGCAAAGAGTTTCCGAAGCAAACCAAACTATTGATGTCTTGTAAATGTCACCTTGAAAACGGTTTGAATGATCACACAAATGGGCCAAGAAATACAATGAGCCAGTGGATTCAGTTCAGAGCAAATTTTGCTGTAGGTAGACAAAGACTGTCAAAAAGTAATAATGTTTGTATTTTTTTTAAGCATGTACTCTATATGTCTGTGTATGTGAGATACAGGGGAGAAAGAGAGAGAGCGAGAGAGAGAGAGAGAGAAAGAGCGATAGAGATAGCGAGAGAGAGTGGTGTCCCATTTTAGAGTCCATTCCCATTTAAGCGGACGTTCAGCCTTCATAGAACCTAATTTAGAGGATCGACCTCCTCCCTTAATGAGTCTATAGTGTTACTGCAGGTTTTCAGGTCTTAATAGCAAACAATGCAACGGTAAATGTCACTGAAAGCGTTTGACCCCAGTGGATTTTTGGATACTACAGGCAACACCGGTTATTTCGTTTAAATTTTGGAAAAGGAGGCTGCAGTTCTTGGCTCCACTTGGAGGACTCTTTGGAATGGGATAGAAATGCAGATTTTCGAAGGTTGCCCCTGAAATGGGTCACGACTACAGAGCGAGAGAGTGAGAGAGCGAGAGAGAGAGAGAGAGAGAGAGAGAGAGAGAGAGAAGCAGCATTGGAATTTATACACAGGTATTAGTTTATAACAGGTTTTGGTGCCCGAGGCAATTCAAAGTCACTCCACACATAAATTACTATACTAACTTTAAATTTGAGTTGAAAAAAAAAAGAAGTGAATTTGCCAAGAAGTTTTGTTTTCCCACAACACCAACAATATGCTTGGAGAAAAATGTTTGTTGAGTAGCAGCTCAAACCAAATTCTAATTAAGTAAATGTAATGCAGTTTGACTGTAACTTTTGAGCTTTTAAGCTCATTCTAGTTTAGTATACCTCAGTTGTGGTTCGTTACGTGACATTGTTTTCCTCAAGCATACAGAAAGAAGTACTGCTGCTGACCTGTCTCTACGTCTGTGATCACAGCCGAGTTATCAAATGAGCCAGTGAGAAGGTGTCGCCCGCAGGGGGTCCAGCAGGCGTCACGCACGGCTCCCGAATGGCAGGTGTAAGCCCTCAGGCATCGCCCGCTCTCTGCTCCATCCCACACCTGCCAGACATGGGCACATCGCATCAAGCCACAAGTCACAAATACACCTAGACTGCAGCAACAAAATCATTTTTACTGACTGTACACAAGCTCAAACTGTTCTGGGGGACAGCTTTTGTAGCTCTACTGAGTCAAAATATGCAGTAAGTGCTAGAAAACACCTCCAGCTGATGGGTTAATGAGTTTAGAGCGATTTCAAATTCAGAACACTTGGTTAAATCAGTAGTTTGTAGTTAGTCTTTGTAGGTTGCTTTGACTTGTCACATCACTGACAATGGTAAAAAGCTACTGTAGATGTGGTAAAAGGCAAAAATTTGATGCTGACCACTGCATCCTTTACACCTCAAATAAACACCAGATGAAATAACATGCAGCATGACAGAGAGAAGCAGTGGGAAAGAGGAGACATCAGACAGCACTGACATACTGTGCTTCAAACAGACGAGAGGAAAGGACCCGCATGCCTTGGACAAGGTTTCAAGGCAGTTTACTGAGAATAGAATAGACCAGGCCTGGTTTGGCGGCCACTGCTCTCTCCTGAATGAAAAGAGGAAACAAAGTGCAATTTTTTTTTTGCCATGCTTTTGCAGATGATGAATTCAATGTGTCCTCCGGCCCTGAAAATCTTTTCTGTGTGAATGAGAAATCGGTGAATGTAGTCTGTCCCTTTTTCAAAGCTGAGATATAATCTAAGCCTTTCCCATTTAACTAAATTGTTATGAAACAAAATACTCAGCAAAGTGCCGCTGGATAAATCGGCATAATACGTACACATCAGGCTTATTTGCTGGATTTGGAAGTAAAAACAACCTTTATAATTAATTAATCAAACTAATTACCTTTGAGTGTGCCTATAAATCAATTCCCCAGGGGGTCTAATGGCTTTAATGGTTTTGTAATGTCAGAGGTTTGGCTGATTACAGACAGACCAGAAGCCAGCTGCTTTCTGTTATTTGCGACTGCCATAGCTACGCTATTTAAAGCTTGCTGGTTTCAAATGTGATATCATAGAGCGAAATAAGTGCAAAAAGAGGCAGACAGTGACCGTTATGAACGAGGTGTTAATCTGCAAGAATGTTCCATTGTTGATTTTGGCTGTGTCTTTAGTCGTTGTGGTATTTTTGTGCTGTGCTTCAAAAAGACCACTTGACACACAGGCTGGTCAAAATTGTGACATGCCTTTCATCCAATGTGATTCAACAATATGATTTTCTCTCAGACATTTCAAAAGAGAAAATCCTCTCCCTGAGTCCCAGCCTGAAATCCAGTGGTTGGTCTGGTCTGGTGCCCACTGAGGTGAGGTATAATATTACGCTAATGATGAAGTATTTTTTGCTTCCCTGGCATTGACAGGGGCCACAGAGGAACTTTGAAGATCTGTGGGGCGCTGCAGATCCCTCTCTGCCTCTCTCTGTGTTTCATTATTAAAGATGACTCCTCCATACAGCATGAGTAAGACATTGAGAAGTTCTGTAACACAGCTCCCACAGGAGACAGACGGGAGGGCGAGGGGGGGGAGAGCAATGGACAAGAGGAGAGTGACATATCAATCCAACAGGCAGTAGTTTAACAAACAGAATGCCAGAGATGCCTCCGGGGAGAAAAGTAATAGAGAAAGAGACAGAGTCGCACTTTTTAATTGCAAAAAGCTAAATACTGTAGCGAAGGCAAGCATCTCTTAAAAATATTTCCATTCATTGGGCAACAGGATGTGCCAATTCTCTGTGTGATCTTAGGCTCAGGGAAATACTGCCATCTCAAGGCAACATGAAAATCTGTTAAACAGCAACTCATAATATTGTCACAAAATATTCAACTAAATACAGACTTCTACAAGTCTGACAAAGTGGTATGTTGCTTAAGCCCCGTCCTCAATGCATGACGGTGTTAATGACGTTCACCGTAACAACACACCATTCAATGCACACCCAACTGCAGTAATCCCATACAATGCGAGACCTGGGCACGGGTGAAAATGAGCGCTTGTTTATTTGCATCCCCTTTAATTTCACCGGCCACTTAACAGACACGCAGTGCGGATCCTTGCAGATGACTCATTGGGGTAATCTGCTTCCTAAATGACTCTTGGTAATTAAAACCAAATTGGTATTCGTGTTATCAACTTAAAACTACTGCCTTACACCTGCTGTAGCCATGGTGACAACAGCTGCAAACAGGCTGGAATAATAATAGTCTGTGTCTGCCTCCGAGGAACTGACAGACAGGATGGAGGAGGAGAAGGGGGAAAGCCTGAAGGGTGTTGGTGAAGAAACACGAGCACAGAGAGGAGAGTGTAAAGACTTCATAGAGTGTGTCCCCTCTCTGTCTTCGCATAGAGAGTAGAAAAGATTAATTGTGGTCAAGTGCAAGAGCGATCAAAGGCGTAGTCAATATAGCTGTACAGTATGTCAATAAGTAAGCAATACTCGATGACATAATGCAAGAAAATGTCCCACCACATAAAAACGGAATGGCATTTATTACGTGTGCCTGCCATATTCCATATCAGGACATCCTGAAGTGTATTATCGTACTTATACCAATACAAAGAGTTAAACTGTGGGGGTCATTAAACACAGTTAAATGTAAGGCAGAGCCAAAAAACTATTATTTTTACTATTTTAAAACGCCTGTTTCATATTCTTAAGTCAATAAATTCCTGTATGTTTTAATTTCATTCGAGGACTGACTAATCATCAGGATTAAATTGCAGAATAAAATCTTCTTATCGCCTCAAAATCCTTCAATTCTGGTCTAAATCTGATTCCAGATGAAGCATTGAATTACCAATATTTGGGCTAATTACTGATTGGAAGCTGAAGATCTCTGAAGTCAGTATATAACCTGTCGAAAATCCTCCTTTCAAATTGAGCAAAATGGCTCACCAGACCATGTGCACAGACACGTAAGGGTATTTCATATGCTCCTCTCTATCTATTGGTTTCACACTGTGAGAGAGAGAAGGAGAGAAATCTTTGAATACAAACAACCAAGTCTTCTCCTCCCCGCAACCATCTGCTCCAAACCACCCTTTCCAGGTGCCAGAGGAGGTGGCTGCCATACTGCTGCACTTGTATGATTATGCAAATGGTCTCATGCATATTTAAATTATTAATTATTCAGAGCCCTCTTAGGATATTGCTGGGGTACGTGGTTTCGTACTGGGATAGAAATCTTTAGTCACTGGCAGACACCTGCCTGGCTTGACCTTTACGGTTGGAAAATGGGGAGATTGTTTTCCTGGGGTGAAATACAGAATAGGAAGAGGAGGGGGGAGTCAGAAATAGAGAAAGAGACCGAGAATGAGAGAGATAGAGGTCCCGTGGGTCCTGACACACATTCAATTGACAGTGACAGATATGATTCTAAAGAAAGTGGTTTGTTGTACATTTATAAATTGAGGCAGCAGGGCAGATATTATCTCACTGTCTGTGACGCTGTGCCAATTACACTGAATGTCAGGTGAATGATTATCCCCGTAGACCTCCCCGATGCTCTTGGCACCTGCCTGAAACTATACTGATAAATGGATTTTTGTGGTACTGTATAAAAAAAACAAAACAGTTGCAGAGCAAACCGCATATGAAGCACTCAGCCGGAGGAAGGCAGATATATTTTATCACATGGAATAAACATTTGACTGATAACTAAAACTTTATTTAAACTGAGCCAGTTTGAATAAAATAAGGACATTATTGGAAGCTTTGCACTACAGAAGCACTAAATCCCTTCTTTGCTGATGAAAGAGCTTCAAAGTATCAATGTGAATCCTTTCTGGAAGTCAGTGATATATTTACTGTATTCATCATACCTTAAAGGTCTTGTCCATGGAGGCAGACAGCAGCAGATGACTGAGATGAGGCACAGGACACCATTGCACTGTGTTGACTGGGCCCTGGTGGCCTTCCAGGCTCATCAGAAGCCTCCTTGGTATCCCCGCAGTGCTGGGCTTGTGAGGAAGATACGGCTTTATTCTCACAGACACTTCTGATAGAATTTGGCTTTCCTTGGTCTGATTACCTGCGCCTTGCTCTGCTGGGCACTTTGAGTCCACTGTCTCCACTGAAGTGGCAAGTCTCTGTCTCTTGGGGATGTACGGTCTGACACCAGACGGGACAGTCCGATGTCTTTTTGGTGCATTCAACCCATCGCCGGAGCTTTGCGGCATGTGAGGAAGAGTCTGCTGTGGTGAGATCTTCCCATGAGTCGCACGTAAACTCAAAGGACCTGTAGTATCTCTAAAATGTTTTTCTTGTGCTGTGTCGTCACTGCAATATTTTCTTTCCAAGCTAAAACAGCTCTGTGGCCGTGAATGTGGGTGCAGTGAAGACCTGCTTCCATGATGTTGAAACACTGACCTTTCAGGGTCAGGTGTGAAGCTGTGGGGGGTCGGCGTTACCTCAAAGGAATCACACACCCTGACCTCTTGGTTTTCATCACAAGACCCAGTTTGGACAGAAGCCGGTGCTCGCTCCTCCTCCGTTTGATTAAAAGAATCATCCTCTGATTCTGAATCCTCGTAGGCCACTAATGAAGACATCTCCACATGATGTGACACTGTGTTTGAAAATAAAAAGGGACATTAAGTGAGATGTCAGTGAAGGCCACCAATTAGAGGCCGGAGGGTGACATCTAGTGGTTGTTTGGATTTCTGCACATAAAAGTAACATACTGACCTGTCACCATGCTGAAAACAGCAGCCTTGCCATTAAAAATTATTTGACCGGTTAAACCACCAATTTACAAATGTTTTGTCGGAGATTTATTGTCACTACTGGGGTGAAATGTCTAGCAGCTACCCACATGCACTAGTCAAGCAGACTGGGAGAGAAATATGGAGAAGAAACACCACCTAGGTTAAATTTTAAGATGATTTCCGAGTTACGCTTTAAACGAGCTACGACTGTCCTGTAAAGTCCTTCTATCAGTCAGTACATATCCAAAACTGAGAGAGTAGTTAGCCAAGACAACTTACTACCTTTGGACAGAGCAAAAACACTGTGTTTGACTTATAAACGTAGTTTACAGATGGGAGGCTGTCACTGTCACACACAACGGGAACGCTAAATCCCGAAGTTTGCGTCTAACTAACCTTAAATTAGTTTGAAGTCTTAACTGCCACCGCTATAGCAAAATTAGCTAACGTTGGTCGTTCGCGTTTCTGACTCAAAGCATAATATAAACTACAAGCTACGAGGTGAATCTGCCTTTATAAAGGTGTACCTGCAATCTGGTTAAACCATCAATATCCGAGTTCTGAGCGTTAAAAACTGGCACACATCAGGTCCAAAATCCCGCAAAATCATTGGAGATAACGCAGAGTTTCAGAATAAAAGCAATGCTTCAATTTGTCCACTCATGTCCAATTTGCCTACGCGTAAATTATTTTATTTTGAAAGAACCCGGAAAAGAAACGACTGTTTCACTCATCCGACATATAGTTTATTAAATGTACTTACATTGAGTTTAACTCGTGCTATTCCTGCGAAATTAAGCTGACAAAATGTAGAAAACCTTCTGCGTGTTAAATTTATTTAACAGGGTTTCCAACGTGGCTCTTTTTCACTGATTAATTCACATCGGAACCCCTGAACGGTGCCTGTTTGCCTGGGAAGAAATTGATCCAAACACTACCTCACCCAGGCTGATGCAAGTTGAACGAGTGAGCTGTCAGTGGCGTGAAGGATACGGTACGGTAAGCCGGCCAGTCACTGTATTTATCCTGAATTACACTAGATACTCCATCAGTGTTATTTAAATAGTTCAATAATTGATGAAACACGGTGACGTCATTAAATCTGAGGGCGGTCAGTGTTAGGAGCTAGCTCATTAGCTCTAGTTAGCTCTGCTTTGTTCACATATTGGAGTTTTCAGCTGCTGTGTTAGGAGATGAGCTACAGTAGTCGGGATAAAGCCTCAGTAATTCTGTTAACTTCATACTAAATGCTATTCAAAACGTTTTAGAGAACTTGTAATGCTGTATATTTGGTCAGTACCTTTAAGTTGTTTATTATTGTCCCCCAGTCAGTGTGGAGAAGATGACAGACTGTCTGGGAGACGGGGAAGGAGCCAAGACTCCAATGGAGCTCTATGAGGAACTGACAGCACAAGGAGACCAAGTCAGGGCCTTGAAAACAGCTAAAGCTGAGAAAGTAAGTGCTTGTAAACTACCATGTAAGAAGGTGATTTTGCTCTGTGGCTTGAGTAAGCTACATTTTATTTATTTATTTTCCTCACTTCCTGCTAGTGCCAGCTAGTCTTACAGGTCTTACAGGTCTTACCGGTTTTGAGGTTTCAGCCACTACCCGTACTGGAATGTGATCCATTCAGTTGTGTTTGTAAGGCTCACAGTAGAGGTGAGCAACGCGGCCGGGCCATGTAAACCACAACGCAATATTAATTTGTAAACCATCAGAGATTTTACCGTTTATACCATGGTGGCAATCCCTTTATTATCTCTGTGTGTATCAGACCTTTGTGAGCGATGTTGAAAATCAGCAAGCTGGTGTTTAGATTAGTTATTAGATTTTTATACATGTTTTGGATCAGTGTGATGTACATTTCTGTGTAGTTATTTTACCCATCAAGAATTTGCCAATAGCTTTTCCAGAAAATGTATTATATATTTTTTTTATCAATATTGTGATATTAAGTTACACATACACACATTTTTACTGACCCTTTAAAATATAACAAGAATTGAGTCCAGAACTCTGGATTCCGTTTGGATTTGGCTGCCTTTATCTGTGCGTGTTATCTGATGGCAGTGTTTGGGTTCCCAGACTGAAATTGAAGCTGCTGTCCAGTTGCTGATAAAATTGAAAGTGGACTACAAACAGGTGGCAGGGCAGGACTACAAAGCAGGTTGTCCGCCCTCAGAAAACTCTGTTGCCCCTGACAACGGGCCAGCAGCAAGTGGCGGTGACGATGAAGACACAGTTGACCCGTGGAATGTTTCCACCACCAACGCAAAGGGAGTGGATTATGATAAACTCATAGGTAAGATTCAAGTGAGTTTCAAGTGTGGCTGCAGTTTTTGACTCAATGAATGTCATTTCTGTACAATAGCTGAGTAATTCACATTGTGTCATGTCTTTACTAGTGAGGTTCGGCAGCAGTAAAATTGACAAGGAGCTGGTGGATAGAATAGAAAAAGTTGCGGGGCAGAGACCTCACCACTTTCTACGAAGAGGAATCTTCTTCTCACACAGGTTAGAAAATGAAAATGTTGTTTAGTGTGTGGGTGTTTCGCAATTTTTTGTGTGGCACATCATCTGTAGTCATTTAGTAATTCTGAATGTTATGGGAAGTTGTTCAGCATGAAAATATCCATTCTGAACCTTTGACCTAGCCATCATCATTCAGATTTTCGTATTCCGTAAAACAGATGGTAGGGTGAAGGTGAGAGTTCATGTGGGAGTGACACATCAATAAATCACTTTCCTCTTACCGTTGTTTCTGGTAGAGATATGCATCAGGTACTGGATGCGTATGAGAAGCAGAAGTCCTTCTACCTTTACACTGGCAGAGGTCCGTCGTCAGAGTCCATGCACGTTGGTCACCTTATCCCCTTCATCTTCACCAAGTGAGTTCTCCCTCTGTACTGAATCAGTACCAAAGAGCTATCTAACTAAAGGCAGGTTTAAATGTTAAAACAGCAGGGCACCATCTCAAATTGTGAGAGTGATTTTATAAGGAGTTATTACTGAAACTTACTTCCCGGTTGCAGGTGGTTGCAGGATGTATTTGACATACCCCTGGTGATTCAGTTGACTGATGATGAGAAGTACCTGTGGAAGGATCTAACACTAGAAGACTGCCACCACTTCGCTGTGGAAAATGCCAAGGACATCATTGCCTGTGGCTTTGATGTCAACAAGACCTTCATCTTCTCTGATCTCGACTACATGGGGTAAAATATGACGAAAAGCTTTTTAGTCCTGTCTGGCAGACCTTAATGCTGAGACTTCCTAGGATGCATTACACGTCTTGCCGTATTTATTAAAGGAAAAAAATCACCTTATTTGTTCATAAAACCTCAATCAGCACTGAATCTTAATAGTTTTCTTAATGTGTTAATTTCAATGTATTTTCTGCAGTGCATCCCCTGAATTCTACAGGAATGTGGTAAAGATCCAGAAGCATGTAACGTTCAACCAGGTCAAAGGCATCTTTGGCTTTACAGACAGTGACTGCATTGGTAAGACACCTTTAGAACTAAATTATTTGATTATATTTCTACTCACAATACTTGAGAAGTATGGAAAGAGGAAGAAACATAAAATGTGTTTACAGGAAAGGAGGTTTTTTGTCCCATATATCTAATATCAGCCAAATGCTCATAACAAACCCAAAGTGATGTTTTCAAATTGGTCTCATAATCAAGCCAGCTGGCGAAAAAGTACTGATGTTTTTATATGAAATGTTTGGATACAAATTTAGTATAATCCTGTGATTGTGGTTTTATTGCACTATTTCTGAAGTAAAGTGTAATTGTATGAATACTTTATTGGTTCTTTATGGTGTTCTTTTTTTTTTTTATCCATCCAGGAAAGATCAGCTTTCCAGCCATCCAGGCAGCGCCGTCCTTCAGTAACTCTTTCCCACAGATCTTTGGAAGCAGAAAAGATATCCAGTGTCTCATCCCCTGCGCCATAGACCAGGTTGGGAACAGCATTACAGTAATAGATAACAATACTAAACACTAGAGTCGTATTTTACCATGACATGTGTTTGTATCTGTCCTCTCGCTCATCCAGGACCCCTACTTCAGGATGACCCGTGACGTAGCTCCAAGGATCGGCTATCCCAAACCAGCCCTGCTGCACTCCACCTTCTTCCCAGCGCTGCAGGGGGCACAGACCAAGATGAGCGCCAGTGACGCCAACTCCTCTATCTTCCTCACCGACACACCCAAGCAGATCAAAAACAAGGTGATGCTATAACTAGTTATTACGATTAATAGTTGCTACGAGTCAGATTTATATTGCCTGTGATTGCTGAGGAACTGGTCTGACCTATGTAACCGTTACTCACAGATCAACAAACATGCGTTTTCGGGCGGAAAAGACACGGTGGAAGAGCACAGGCAGGATGGTGGAAACCCGGACGTAGATGTCTCCTTCATGTACTTGACCTTCTTCCTGGAGGATGATGAACAACTGGAGAAGATCAGACAGGTAAGGGCCTGGAGAACAGAGAAAATAAATGATGTCTTTATTATTTATTAAGCTAATGACACTCTTTCTTCTGTTCTGCTTCCCCTACTCTCTCTATGACTCCATATCTTTCCTTGAATTCTTTGCCTCACACTGTTTATCATTGTTCTTTGCTCCCTCATCGTCCTCTTCAACTTCCTTTCTGCACACCCCTCCCATCCACTCCCTCTCGTCCAATCTCTGCAGGACTACGCAAGTGGAGCTCTCTTAACAGGAGAACTGAAGAAGATTTTGATTGAGACTCTGCAGCCAATGATTGCCCAGCATCAAGAGCGACGCAAACAAGTCACAGACGAGACAGTCAAGCAGTTCATGACACCCAGGCGCTTAAATTTTCATTTCTAGCCTGCTTGATCAACTGTCAAAGTTCATCATGTCACTAATCTCAGTACAAGAAGAAATAGTTAATCATTGAAGGTTATTGTAATTTGTAATGGGAAGACAGGATATTTTCTAATCTGCATCAGGACTTGAGAAAGAACTGAAATGTAAATTACTGCAGCGGTGATGTGCTTCTCTGTGTCAAACTCAGCATGGCCATATCTTCATGCTAATTGTTATGCTACTTGCTTCACACTGCACCAAATGTACACATTTATCTTCATGAAGTGTTTGTGTTTTCAGCGCTGCTGTAACGTCAGATGAGCCCTACTCCTCGCCCTGAAATCAGCTCAGGATGAATGACGATTAAAGCGGAGTACAAATGGATACTGTTGCAAAAATCTGCTTAGTGACCAAGAACAACACAGCTACACATCCACTTTGAAAAATGTTGGTTAGGAATGTTGTTACGAGGTGTTAAAGTCTTTGACAAAAAGGTTTCTGGACAATTATTCTGACTTTGTAGGAAGTAGCATCTGTGTTGTATGTGGTGTTAAGAGATGAGGATAATATGATGATGGGAGATATATAAAGAACATTATTTGTTATCAGCTGATGGGACTTGACTTAAGGTAACTCTCATGGTCAAAGTGAAGAAGTTTAATTCAACTTATGCCCAGACTAAACCTTAAACTGTTCCATATCAATAGTGTCACATTGCACATATAATATTCTTTAATAGTTCTATATTCACACAGCGAAAGTTTCTCCAAACATATCAAGATTGACATTTTGTGATATAATGGCTGCACTGTGGGCTTTTATCGCAGAAGACATTTTAACATGCCACAGTAGAAAAGCAGGTGTAAATAAAACGGCTGGATTCCATTTAGCTTATTCCTTAGTTTTGTGCATGTTGGCTCACTGTCGAGCCTTAATAGGACACTTAAATAGAACAGAGCCATCATTAATGTTATTAGTAACACCTGTCCTTTTCCTACTATGACAAGTCTGCTGTGAGCAAGGCGTGTTGTCATAGAAGTGACTTGAGCACTGAACAATCAATACACATTACGTTACATATCACATCACATTATTAAAGGTCTTTGATCCAAATATCTGAATATGGCCCTAACTGAAGGTAAAACAATATATGATTGGTCCTTTTATTGATAATAATGTAGCAGTGGTGCAAGATGTTTCAAAGAAAACTAGAATAAAGATAAACTTATTTTTTTAAAAATGATACTGAGCAGAACGTGGATGTTTATGAGTGTGGCATGTTTTCATCCACTGTCTGACTCAGGAAGGGTGCTCAAGAAAGGGAGAAACTTTGTCACAGTATAAACACTTAAAGGGAAAACGGTGAAAACACTGAGTGTATAATGAACTATTAATATATTCAGCACAGTGTTACTGCAATAACAGGTGTAGTTAAGATTTTTCAGTGCTGATACAGACGATATGCAGCACATTATTAATAACTGACTACTAACACTTTAAATTCTCCCATTGGAGTAAATGGCTTCACTCCTAACAAAGAGCAAGACATATTTGCATCGTTACAAAGAGAATATAGCGTGCAAAATTCTCATGTCTTTATTTACTGACAAGTCAGAAGTTATATTGAGAATAGTGATATAAAGAAGAAAAATATCACAGACTTTCACCCCATGACAGTATGTGAGGGCCAAGGGTCAAACCTCAGTGCTATATAACATCTTGTAAAGTGATAACAAGTACTTCTGGTTAGTCCAGTGGTAGCACAACTGGAACACACTAGAGACTGACAAATCACAGTTTAAAACTATTCAAATAAAAAATGGTATTATGGGGACAAATGGTTAAAACTGTATTCTCGTCTGTTTTGTTGTCGTCTGAAACACTGGTGACATTTAATTGTTCTTCTTTTGGCTCAAAACCATTTCAAATAATACATTTGGTTTCTGGATGATTAAGTTTTTATCAATATTTATATAGAAATTATTTACACTTCATACTGTGAACTTTTACACATTCCTACACAAACTGTACAGCTCTTTCACTGTAAAACACACATTTTAAAATATTGTGTTTTCATATTTTTGGTGCTTCTTGAGTTTTGCAGTACTTGCTTTTTGAATTGTATTTTACTATGTTTCTAAGCTCCTAAATTCCAAGGCCACGTCCCTGTATGTGAAAACTTTTGGCAAAAAAACATGATTCTGATTTACTCAAAACTACCATAAAGAGTCTTCAGACACCTGTTTGCAAGGTGTGCACAGGTGTGTGATGCAGATGCTGTGCCTTAAACCTGGGCACAATATACTATACACACAGTATATTATACACAACCCCCATCGGTTAAATACCCTAGTTGGACACACACATACATGCTGACGATATCCACCATGATAACATTGTTGATTTTGACGAAAGGGGTTGAATTAGCAGTGACACTTTCAAACTCTCCTCTGCAGCAGCAGCCAATGGGAGCGAGGGGCGGACAGCACCCGCTAGGGGAGTTGTCCACCTCAAAGTGATCCCATTGGGCTGCCTTAAAAAAGGGCAAACACGCTGCTTCTTTCTCCACTTTGAACCCCCCTCTCCTACAGAAATAGAAAAAGGGTCTGGCGAGAAAGAGCGCCTCTAGTAGTGTGAGTGAGGACACATCAGCAAAGAAGTCTTCCGTGTGCTCAGCATCAGCTAACGCCTGAAACCTCCTCCCCATAAAAGAAGAAGACACTTGTAGCGAGAGCTTAAAAGAAAAAAAAAAAGGGGCTAGTGGGTTTGTATACAAATACCCAAGTTCAGACAGACTTCGGGAACAAATAAGTACCCACTGAGGGCTTGTGAATTACATTTTTGTCAGCCGCCAGGTTAGTTTGACGCATTTCAAACGTTTTGAGGGAATGGCATTGGACTTCGCTGCGGGCTGCATAGGAGGTGAGTAGTGTTTAGTGTTGCTGTTAGCTAGTAGCCACGTTAGCCAGGTTAACAAGTTGAAGCTAATTAGCATTAGCATTATTTTTCCTCCACCCCCCCCTCCTCGAGCGTCAAGTAGCGCGTGGACGCCACCAGCTGTAATAAGTTAGTAGTTTGTCTCCAGCTGCCACGTATCAGAAACACTGTAAAGAAACCGGTTAGAGACTCAAAATCCAAAGCTTTTTTTCTTTTCTCTCTCCTCTAAACACAGTGTGGAAATACCGGATGTAATTTAGTTACATTCCTTACCTGTAGCTCACACAGGGAGTGGTGTTTGTGTCTTGTGCTGCCATTCATGGAAAAGCTGCTTTTAAAACGTGCTCGTTTCCAGGTAAAAGTAAACATAAGTTTCGTTTTTAGTGCGATAAGTTAAAGAAGTACTGCAAAAGAGAAGGGGAGGGACATCTTTTCTCGTAAATGTTATCAGATAATCCTCCTCCATCCTGCATTGTGAAACAACCCTCACCATCATTCCTCGTTAGGAAGTACCACATCTGGAGATAATGGGCTGTTAAATGAGTTCATGCCTTCCAGTTTAAATAGCAGTGATTGCTTTTTTCCTTAAGGAAAGGATGGAGTAAACTGATGACCCCTGTGACCTCATTTCTGGATATTTCATATTATATTTAATGCAATAACAATAGGACTACAGAACAACTGATAAACTGTACAATTAACCCAAATAGTGAACACACTATGTGCAGGAAGTTTGTGTGATGGATGATTTATTGTCAATATTTAATCAGAGAAGAGTTTTCCCCATTTTCTTTTGAACAATTACTTTTTTGACACATTCAGTGTTTTCTTCTCCTTGATGCTTGGCTATTGTTCTATTAGTTCTTTACTTGTTTTAAGAGTCTACTGAAAGGCTGAGATACAGGCCTACTGTGTATATTAAGTTTTCTTACACCACATAAAATCAAGAAGGCCTCGCGACCCCTAGTAGGAGTCCCTACCCTCCGGGTTGGGGAACCACTTGCTTTCAGCCTGCGTTAAAGCCTCACACTAAACCCTTGGGAATCTTGTCAGCTGTTTTGTCTTTGCCCAAGGCCAGGTCTTCCCAAACTTTAGTAAATCAAGGACTCCAGATAGTCTCTCACTGTAGAGCACATGTACTAGTGTGATAAAGGTTTTGTCCAGAGAGCCTGGACTAAGAGTTTTGTTGTATTTCACTTTAAATTGAGAGACTGGGGTTGTTTTTTTTTTTTTTTTTTTTTCATTTGAATTAATAAGCAGATCAGACACCGGGTGCTGAAATATAGACACAAATTCTTATCAGGTCAGTCATTATAACAGAGGTACAAGTTGTCAAGTCATGGACAACGTTGAGGACGTGTGGGAAAAGGTGGACACGATTCTGATTCATAATGAAACTAAAATTAAATGCTGGTTTTAACAGTTTTCCACAAACATAAAAACATATAAATACTAACATACTGTCCTTTGACAATGGGGTATGAATGTGTTTCATGTGAAGATTAGGTACCTCTGATGATTCAATACCTCTTGGCTAATAGCTCTGATATGAAACTCTTGTATAATGGATTTTTGTCTCTTTGGCATAAGTCAAGGACAGGGCCACTGTCAAGCTTTCGTCACTGAGTGCAGTGCAGTGCCAGTAGCCAGCTGATTACGTCGCTCAGTTTCAGGAGGACGCGCTGTTTGCTGTTGCGAGACGAGCCAGCTGATCACAAGCCATTTTCGTTCCCGAATCAAACCCCGTATTTGCATTGCGTCACTGTGATTGATCGGTAATTAGGATTCCTTCATTTAGCTACAGGTGTGTGTGTTTTCTTTCTAATCCCGTCTTATTTTTCAGGTGCTGCTGGTGTTTTGGTGGGACATCCATTTGACACTGTGAAGGTGGGTGTCCGTTCCATCTTCTTCACTATTTGCTCATGTTAGGCAATGACATGATCCAGTACTTTGCTAGTTAAAATGCTGTAAGTCAGACCACTCTGTTTGCAACCTGAATTAGAATCCAGATAACCTAAAGTAACATTTTCAGCTTTTTATCAGAAGAGACATAGAAGTACATACATAGAAATTGTACATGAGAACAAAAGAGGTGCACTCACTTTCTTTTAGATTTGAATGAAATTTAAATTTAGGGACATTGGTTTCAGTTACTGGCATTTTGCTCTGGTATTCTCTAATCCTATACAGTCTAAGCACAGTAAACCACAGCAAGTAAACCTGTCTACACAGTACTCCTTTGGCCTAAAGCTACTCGTTAAAGTCAAGGAATTTTAGATGTAGCACACAGTTGTTTGAAATTGCAGCCTCCACTTACATACAGAGATGGTGAATGGTTTGGTTGTAGCTCTTTTGTACTTTGCTTTTAATGTCATTTCTCCCTGAGCTGGTGTCTGGGGGAGGCTGTCTTTAACAGCAGCAGTGTCACTGTGTTGTAGATGAGAGAGAGAAATAAACAACCTCTCCATGGAAATGTGACCTAGTAAGTATGGTCAAGGTCTTTTTTTTTTCCCTCTCCCCCAATGTCTTGTCTTGAGCTATATAAATATAAAGCACAGAACAGACTTTTTTTTTTTTTTGTACAACTTCATTCTTTGTAATTTTTCTCTCCCTCATGTTGAAACCTCTATGCATCCTTTTTTACCCTAAAAAAAAGAACCATTTCAAAACACTGTTGCCTGCTTGTTTCCCTTTTAAACCTGTATAATATGTAGTTGTTGTGGCTCTCTTTGGCCTTATTTCTCTGTCGTACGACTCTAACACGAGGCCTGTCATCCACAGGTGAGGCTGCAAGTTCAAAATGTGGACAAACCTCTGTACCGTGGGACATTTCACTGCTTCCAGTCAATCATACGCCAGGAGTCGGTAAGCTTCTGTTGGTTCTGTGAATGCCCTCTTAATGTTTAATTACATTTCTTGCAGGTTTTTCTTAGGCTGCATTTAAAAACGTCATTGCTGTCGAGTAATGCGTGTAGCTTTCACCATGTGTCGCTTACTATGCCACAGTGGATTAAAGTGATTATTTGGAGTGTTAAATTACAGTCTCCTCTTTAAACGCAGGCATCAGCCCAAACTCAGCCAGCATGTTCCTAACATGGGGTGTTAGGGGTGAAAGGGGGGAGGTGGTGCTGTTAGCCAGGGTCAGAGAGGACCTTAGTCCTGCATGGGCTAAATAAAGATTTGGACATCGTGCCATTTGAGCTAAGTGGAGGAGGCTTGGTCTCAGTGAATCTGTCTTGGCTGTTTCACATGGAGGTATTGGATTGGAAGTTTACACTTTAATCTACTCTTTGTTGATTTTAGCTGCCAATAATTGAGTCTGCATATGACAAGCAATCAATACACATTATGATTGTAAGTGCACAAAGGGATCAGCAGGCTAGAGAAGAATATTTGACAAGCGGTATCAGTGTAGTAATTTTTCTGCATTCCAGCAATGCCTCTGTGATAGCCTCAAGGCTTTAAAACTTGAAATGTCAGTGTTTTCACTTTTTGACTATCTCTAACTTGTTCCTCCCTTACAACTGGAAAGGCAAGCGCAGCTACTACTATTAATACAAAGACATTTTTCTTTGATCATTTTAGGGGTATTTTGGAGCTCAAATTTATTTCAAAAGTTTCAAGATTATCATACTTTGCACCTTGTATCCCGAATCAGAACAATTGTGAATTACTCATTTGTGGGCACAAAATATAAATGTATTACCTTAGATTTGTATTTGTGTACCAAGTAGCTGAAACTGGATGTCAAGAGTGAAAAAAAACCCCCACAAACCTGAAATGTAGCTTGAAATGTTGATAGTAATAGGCTGTAGAAACATGGCACTTCAACATGGCGGCCTTCAAGGAAGGCGACCAGCTGCGTCTATAGATATAAAAGGTTCATTCAAATGTAACAACAATATACATATACATATACATATACACCAATAGGAACATAGTCTACCAGTAGAGCCCACTGGACCTTCTGCTGGACTCTGTAGAGATCGCAATGCAACACAATGGTGTTCCCTCAGTGATCCCAGTAATGTGTCTTTGTGTCTGTAGATGCTCGGTCTGTACAAAGGCATTGGCTCTCCCATGATGGGCCTGGCCTTCATCAATGCCATAGTCTTTGGTGTCCAGGGCAACGCCATGCGCAAGCTTGGCCGTGACACACCTCTCAACCAGTTCTTGGCTGGAGCCTCTGCTGGAGCCATCCAGTGTGTCATTTGCTGCCCAATGGAGCTGGCCAAGACCCGCATGCAGCTGCAAGGGACCGGAGAGAAGAAGTCTAAGAGGAAGCTGTATAAGAACTCCCTGGACTGTCTGGTGAGAATCTACAACAAGGAGGGAATCCGAGGTATCAACCGTGGCATGGTGACCACCCTGATGCGTGAGACGCCTGGTTTTGGTGTGTACTTTCTCGCTTATGACGTGTTGACACGTTCCCTGGGTTGTGAGCCAGAAGACCCTTACATGATCCCCAAGCTGTTGTTTGCTGGTGGAATGTCTGGCATCGCTTCCTGGCTCTCCACCTATCCCGTGGATGTGATCAAGTCGCGTCTTCAGGCGGACGGGGTCGGCGGTGTCAACCAGTACAGTGGCATTATGGACTGTGTCAGACAGAGCCTAAAGAAGGAGGGGTGGAGGGTGTTCTCACGTGGACTCACGTCCACTTTGCTCCGCGCGTTTCCGGTGAATGCTACCACATTTGCCACTGTGACTTTATTTTTAATTTACATGCGTGAGGGAGAAGAGTGTAGCATTCAGGACTCTGAGCCGCAGTCTGTGCAGCTGCAGCCACTGCAGCCGCAGACGCAGCCGACCAGCCTGTAAAGCCATTGCGCGCCAGCGAGCATTACTACAGTCAAGCACATTTATTGAGTGTAGATGGAATTTGCAGCTTCATGCTGGTCTGTGATCTGTTAACTGGTATCCATAATGAGAAAGGTGAACTGATCCTAGGTAAGCATCTGCCCATGGAGCTTCAGCAAAGTGACCACATGTAGTATTTAAATAATATATATTTTACCATGAAAGCTGTACTTGTAAATATGGTCTGTTTTTAAACGTCTGTGGTTTTGTACACACTACTTTTTGAGTTTTAATTAATTTTAGGAAACTTGACGGTTACAAGCATTACTGTAACAATCTCTACAGTGACAGTTACTGATGTTCCTAAAAACGTTGAGTCAAAGAAACTCTTCAGGTCATAATGGAATATGTTTGGAGTTCATGTTAACAACCGATCGCCACTGTGCCAGTCAGTGACAGTTATTGATTACCAAAACCAGGTCTACAAAGTTTAGCATACTTGTAAACATTAATGAATTTGTACTGTTCCTTTGCGCAAACTTCTATCAGTGAAATGAATGTGATTTTAAAGATTTAATTTATTAATTTTAAGAAGTTGACCAATCCATAGTAATCTCTCCATGGTGTCCAGGTCGAGTCATCCCCTTACTATTGACCTTCATATAGTGTGAACGCAGCATTTTAGCGTCTTATTGTAATAGTTACAAATACAGAGAAAGCCATGTACATGTAAATGTACAAGCTCCATGTAGTTACTGTATTCTTCTTCTGAGGTTACAACTGTGTTTGTTGTTCAACTTTCCTATGAGAAATCACAGGAGTTTGATCCAAGTTGTGGATGCTGTCTGAAGTTTTATCCTCTTTTTGTTTCATTTTTTGTCTACTTTAAAAATCTGCCTTGAATTCTGAAGTTCATAATGAAAATGTTACAGACCAAGAAGTTGGCCCATGGCAGTATGACATAAACACGACTTAAATACAAAATGATCATGTGTTAAAATTTCCTTAAAATGCTTAATTTAATTTAACAATCACAGTTTAAAACCAAATCTGAATGAGCTTCTTTTCTTTTCTTCTGGACATTGTACAATGTCTAAAGAAAGCACCTTGTTATGATATTAAGCACATGTTCGGTTAAAAAAAAATTTTTTCACTTAACAGTAGATTTTATATTATAATGCAAGATTCTCTTACAGTGTCATACAAAACAAATGGCTTGTTAAAGGTCAAAAATGCATGTGTAACACCTAACTGTATATCAAAATAGCTAAAGCTATCACTTTCCTCACATGTGGACGGCACACATCTTCATGTCTAAATCTGCAGTTCTGAACTGACGGTGCTGTTACTTTTCCTATCAATAAGTAGCAGATGTTAGACTGCTGAGTCCAAAGTGCAGGTCTGTAACTGCTTTGTGGTTGTCCAAAGACATAATGACATACATACTGTGAATTCAGTGCTTTTTCTTCTCATGTAATCCCTTTGTAAGAAAGCTTTAGATGTATCTGGTGCAATCCTGCAATTTATTTTATTTTTGTTTTGTTTCAAGCCTTTACTTCTGTAAAGTACTTCTGACTAGTAGGTCTGTCTGACTGTACCGGTGGATGATGCATCTTTGTGAAAGGGCTGCTACTGTTGTGTTCTGTACTTGTGTGTGTACAATATGTGCAGCATGCACAGTGTAGCTCCTTGAAAGTGAAATAAAAAGCCACTTTTTCTCATGTTTTCTGAAAGGTGTGGTTCTTAGTACAACTATTACCACAGTATGTTGCATATTGATGAGTTGTCAGACCCTTCACAACCACAAACAGGATATATGGTATGGAGAATGCAGGAGTTGTTTAACTGCATAAGTGACCCTAAATAAATTTAGAAAGGTTCTTTAAATAAAGACACTGACCTCTAGTGGTTATAGATGGGTATCAAATTTTTACTACAGTTGGTGCTTGGCAGACTCACTCATGTTTATCTTTTAATATCTTTAGGAGAACATAAATTCTTTGTGACGCAATGTACAAAAATAGCAGTTTATTAAAGCAATGTGACTATATTTACCTTTCAGAGCAGGATTGTAAACAAATGTATCCATTATTTTGACAAAAACAATAAGTTATTCAAGTATCAAATATTGATTGCATTCTTATGATCACAGTATTGCCTTAACATCTGCCATCTGACAGATTAGAGCCAGTACAAATGATCTTAAGGGAAACACTTCTCAACCAAATAAAAAGAAAATACAGCATAAAACAAATGGTTTGCTTTGTATCATATAACATACAAAGTGAGTTGAGTGGTGTTCCCCTTCAAATAATTGTGCAAGAAGGTTGAACCCGGTTTCCTGAGGCTCTTCTCTCATTGAGAGATCAGATAGAGGTGTTACTTTATGAAGCATAGCAGTCCCTAAAGAGACTGAACAAAGAAGTATAGCAAACATAAGGGCAGGAAAGACATGTTAGTAAGAAATAACAGTAGTGGAGACATAAAGGTAGAGGAATGAATGGTAAATGATTGTGGTATTCCTGCATTGTTTCTGCCCCGTGCTGCTAGCTGTTTTTTGATGTGTTCATGAGGAAGGAGTCACAGGAGTAGCGCAGGAAGCGGTAGATCTCCTCAGCTCTGGGCTGACTCATACAGCCTGCCTTCTGTATGGCTTCAATGGAGCTGCAGGAGGAGTAAAGGGGGGTTAGAGGAGAGTTATACTGTGTTATTCTGTTCTTATTTTGCCACAGTATACACGTACACTTCCTTTACCTGTTTATGAGTTGGGCAATTGACCTGAAGTTATGGCTCATGCTGAGGGCATGGATGTAGTTGACTGAGGGCAGACTCAGGAACAGCTGCAGGGCCTGCTGGCTGTGCTGCCCTTTGACTTCCAGCGGTACAGCGATACCCTGACCTTTACGCTGCTCTAGCCGTGCCAGGTCTGCCAACAGGCCAGCACTCTCTTCAGCACCATCGCTCCACAGCAGGCGCACCCCGGTCCGTACCAGCGCTGTCACAGTGCTGTCGTAGTAACGTGTTCGCTGAAAGGGACGTGACACCTCACCTGTGACGGGGGCAGTTATCATAATATGTCAGAAACATGTAATAATCATCTCAGTAAAGTAAATTAAATTGTTATGTAAACTATGAAAAGTGCCTGTAATGCTGATTCAGAACATAGTATGTACAGGTGTTTACTTCAATTTCTTTTAATATTATTTTTGATTAAAAGGTCCAGTGAGTGACATTTAGGAGGATCTATTGGCAGAAACTGAATACTGAATATTGCAATCTGCAACTACACAGCTAGATGCGACTAAATCCTACACACTGGACCTTTAATCTTCAAATTTTTAGGCCTAAGAAATATCGGCAAATAGTCCGTTTTCACAATTTCATGCAGGTTCATATATTCCTGTCTTGCAAATCTTCCCATCTGAGAGTACAAAAGCCCCAGAATACCCCGTACGAGATATTTAACTAAACAGATCAATAGGCTGACTGACCTGGCTTCGTTCTGTCCTTCTCCACTATCAGACACACGCGCTCAAACAGTCCCTGCAAGCTGTTCACTCTCTCAGCCAATCTCTTCCTGTTCTGCATGGCAGCCAGATCTGATTGGCTGTGCCTCTCCACTGCCATCCGGTTGCTGACGATGAAGTAGCTGCCGTCCAACGAGCAGACGTGGACAGTGGCGGCGTGGCGCTGACGCAGGGTGGTCATCAGCTCCACTCCGCTACTGATGCAGCGACTGTCCGCCAGAATACAAACGGGTCCGGACGGAGCAGAGGACTTGCTGACTGATGAATCCTTTGTAGTGGACATTTGAGGCACAGAGGAGGTGGCAGGGAGAGTCTGGACAAAGGAAAACATAAACATCAGAGTAGTTTTAAGTTTTACTGAATGATCATGTATTTTAATTCCACACATACTGTATGACCCTGCAGACATGTGCCATCTTGTTTGCTCGTACCTGAGGTTGTTTCTTGGAGGATAACTCTGACTCTACAAAGTCCAGTTCATCAGAGAGCAAATGCTGATTTTCTAACCTCTGGCGACACCTGCAGGCAAAAGAAAACAATGCTCTAGTGATTGGTGAATTTTTGTGTTTGTTTGTTCTACCACATGAGAACTTCTTTACCTCTCATTTTGCTGTTCCTCAGTCACTGAGCATCTCTGCGCCTTGCTCAGCAGTGAGATCTTGGATGCTAGGGTTGAAGACGAGGCGGAGGAGGAGGAGGGTTTCTGCTGCAGCTGAGGCCTGCTGGGCTCCGGCTGTACCGCCTTTGGCCACAGGGAGACAGCAACACTCCCTCCTATGAGACTTCTCTTCTTACTAACTTCCTCCTCCTCTTCACTAGAATCATTAATGCATATGACACGGGTGCGCTTGGTCTTCACCCCAGCTCTGTGCTCTGGTGGGGCTTCAGCTGTAGTCTTAACGCCAGCTCCGGCTCTTGCTCTGACTTTATGCAGGAAAACACGCCGTCTGGTGGCATACTGCCTCTTCCCGTCCACATACGAGTCCTCAGGCATAAGTTCAATGTCTTCATCTTCTTCCTCGCTGCTCTGTACCTCCTCCATCTCACTTCCCACCACAAAACTGTCTTCTGCATACGTTTCATCCATCTCAGGCACCTGGGACAAAAGGTTAGGAACATGGGCTGAGGTCAAGTTACTTGAACTTCTTTGTATTTAGGTTTTTTTTGTAAGAAAAGCTGAGACTAAAATATACAGTTTACCTGGGAAAATATGTCCATGTTGTGATGATTTCTGTAGGACATTTTGAACTTGCCCTGGACTGCAGGGCTTCTCACTGACTTCAGGTAAACACCGTGCATCTCCGATTCTGATATAGAAGAGAGACAGACAGGACGTGTAAATGTTGTGGCACAATTCCTTCAGCTTACTTGAGCTCAAACACTTCATTTCAGTGAATTAGATTTGAAACACAATCCACTGAAAGTCCAATAAAATCACATTTCTTGGAATAACCAAGCTGTACCGTTCAGTCCCTGTGAGAGGTGTGTGTTGTCGACGACAAAGCCTTCAAGAGAATTATTCTGTTCTTCTCCATCTTCTTCATCAGATGACACGTCTTCCCCCTCCTCCCCATCCGACAGCTCGGCTTCTTCGTCAAGGAACTGACGCCCTTTTCGACATACGGTGTGCTGCGAAAGGAAGGATGAAAAATGTCAAGGTTGATGGATGCTGAAGGTGTCCATGCAACAGATATGACAGATATTTATAGACTTGACATTTATGGAAGGAGAAAGGTGTCATTTTTACAAATATTAAACAGGTCTAAAATGTCTTATGATAGTATGTCGCAAGAGACAAACAGCAGCAACCACATTTGTAGTTTGTCAGTTATGACTAAATGTAACACTTACAGTAGAACCAGAAACAACAACCAGAACTGGGTTTGCATGTAAATAGGTGCCATTCATTGCATGTGGTTGTATAAAAACATGAAAAATACATGATGAAAATTTTGATTCAGATTAGAATATCCTACAGAGCCACCTGTTACCACACAGACCTTGGCTTTGCCCTGTTGGACTCGTTGCCCTCCAGTTGCTGTGGTTCTGCGTGTGAAGGCAGACTCATTCTGGAAGTCATCATCAGAAACAGCTTCGCCCTCTATTTCATCAGACTGGAGATCAATGAGGAGAACAAATTAATCAAACACTGTACACCGTTAATGGTTTATGATGCTGCATATTATTAAACGATAAGGATTTGTGGAAATAATCACAAGTAATGCATGGAGTTAAATTATTTAGATTAAATCTGCTGTGTTGAGCCATGTGGAATACTTTACTGCTAATGAAGAAAATCTTACTGTATTAAGTGCAGCCACACGTTTCCTGTTCACAACCACTGGGGAGTCCACATCACTGGAGATCTTTGACTAGCAGAGACAAAACATGTTCAGTTTTATATACAGCCTGTGTCCATACAGTGCAAGTATGTCAGTGTCTTATGTGACTTTCATATACTGTATAATATCAAAATACATTCCAGGAGCAAATGCCTTTTCACTGCACGCAAGCTGGTTGCCATGACAACTACAGGTACCTTGGAAATGATGGACAGAGGCAGCCTGAGCCGTCTGAATCAGATATCAGATATCTGACTAAGACGGCTCGGCTGTCGTTTTTGCACCACAACACAGAGGTTACATCGAATTTTTTTATTTGTAATGTAAGACTGTAATTTAAGTCTTTTTACATCTCATTTACCGTATGAAAGGGAAAAAGGAATGAATGTATATCAAATGGAACTGCAACGAGTATAAAATCTATACGTTTTCCAGCAAAAATGGCTTTCATTGTACCATATGCAAATCATAACCTCTGTCTGTTAATGTCTGTATATTTAGTTACACCTTTGCAACTAAGATTCGCCTCAGATTTGTCACCATAATTAATAATGAATCAGCATTGCTCCTCCTGAATCTGAGGTAGGACAATCAGCCTATTTTCCAGCGCCCTGGAATAAACTAAAGAGTGATGCCCCAATAGTTGGAGCCCTCCAGCACCAATTTCTTTTAAAATGGAACCCCCACCGCGATCTGCCACTCCAAAGGTACTGTCCCTGACCTCTATGCAACACTGAAGAGGTGTGTCAGCCAAGACAGCCCAACAATGCCCAGAGCCTTCAGCTTCTCAGGGTGAATCTCATCTCCCAAGGCCAAATGGCCCCAGAGGAGGGGCCAGACTAAAAACAATTCACAGACTCTGTCTGAATTAGCTAAGAAGCTGCAGTGCCGGAAAAGGGAAACCGGGGTCCCCTTCTGGAGCCAGACCTGAGAGGGGAGCTCACTGGGAATTGTCTGGTGGCCAGGCCTTGACCCATGGGGCTTGGCAAGACAGAGCCTAAAAGAACTACATGGAGCCGGCACCATGTGGACCCAACCACTCGCAGGGATAGGCATCAGGGTTCGGGTGCTTTGCATTCGGGTAATTGGGAGGAACGACCTGCCTGATCTGTTTTGAGGTTAATAAAATAATAAAAATAATACTTGCTATTGCAGCCCTAGATATTTAATGTCAACCAGGGTTGCTCACCACTTCTGGGGACGACAATGGGTTGATCTTGTTCTGATGTCTTTTACGGCCCACAACTTCCTCCTCACTGTCACTGTTGAATTCCACTAAAAAACATGGTGAGACACAGAAAGAAGAAGGGGATCTCAGCGTGTTCAAAATGGAACAGGGACAAACAAAGTTGAGGAATGATATTTTTTGAATGGTGTACAAACCTGCATGCGGAGGCGAGTCAGCCACACAAATAGATCCCTTATGGGAGCTGTTGTCCAAACGTAATGCTCGCTCTACCTTGGCGGCGTGACCCTCCATTGTAGAGGATAGTAAAGACGGGGTGCGAGGCCCAGTGTAGCCAGGCAAAAGCTTCCGCCGAGCTCCTGGTGATGTGATTGGAGATGGGAGTGCACCACCTTCACACATTAAAGGCGAAGCCAGAAGAGAGGACGTTTGTCTCCTGCTGTGCTCTGACAGCATTTGTGGTGTCGATAACTTGCATTCACTCGACTGTAGAGGCATTCTCGGTCTATGGAAGCTGTTATAGGGAGTGGAAGAGTTGGAGACCGCCAGCTTTTTAGGCTGTGGAGAGTATGTACATGGGGCAGGTACATCCTCTACCTCCTCTTCCTCAGAGTCCTCCAGCGAATAGCCGAGGTCAAAGTTGACAGAGAAGTAGTCATGGGAGCTGTCATGTAACTCAGAATTTTGTTGCACTGTGGGAGATTTACATAGAGCTGGAATTGCCTCATCCGTCACTGAATTATCTGTTACATGTTTCATTGTTGCTGCTGTGTGTGTACAATGTTTTACCTCAGTGCTTTGGGTGTTTGTGTCCTGAGTTATCAGCTTGGCATGAGGAGTGCGGGTTATGTGCTTTGTGTGTGTTAAACTGTCTGTGTTTAATCCATGTGCGCTTTCAGCTGTGTGTGTAGTGCTACGTGGGGTTTTTGGGGTGTGTGCGTGTAAAGTGTTGGACATGATTTTTGTGCCATTAGTAATGTCTCCAGCACGAGGGGATGTCCTGGGTGTGACACCAGGAGTGTAGATTTCCGGGATGGTCACCTGCAGGAAGGCTTCGTCATCCCCGAACAGATCCATGCTGTCGTCCATCTGAAGGTCTCTGTCATCTTTCACACCATCTGTCAAATCTAGCATTCCCTCATTTCTCACGTTATCCCAACAACTCTCTTTTTCCACTGTCATGCTCTTATTCATTCTCATTTCTTCATACGTTTCAGCTTCCTCACCAACCAATCCCTCCTTGAAAATCTCATCATTTGTCTCCTTGCTGTTATCTTTTATATCATGACAATCGTCCACTTCTTCTTCCCCAAAAACCTCATCCCAGGTCGGACTCTCTTCTCCTACGCAGCCCCTTCTGACACTCTGCTGCTGCTCCTGACAGACTTTACTGTCCTCTTTACCGACTGGAGGCTCGTCTGAGTCCACCCTGAGGGAGGCATTGTCGTCATCGCTTATCATCACTTCGTCGTCGTCGTCCACATTCAGTGTAAAGCTGACCTGGAATGGCTGATGAGGCCGCAGAGGAGAGGGAGGAAGTGATGGAGCATCCATGTCGGCCTCTAAATCTTCAGTCGGTGACGGCGGAGATCGGGACAGGAGCTCCGCCACGTTGGCCAGGATGACCTTCAGACTCTCGTCTCTTCCTGGGCGCAGTTTAGCAGACGAGGGGGGAGGCGCTGAATCCCATTTAGGAAGGTAGAACATGGCCTGAAGTTCAATATCTTCATCAGTCTTGGTAATCAACTGTGATAGTTTGTCTATATTTACAGGCTCGCCAACCGTGTGCTCTGATTTGATGACATTCTCGATAATGAAGACACAGTCATCATCCATATCAGCTTCTGGACAGTCATTGATTGAGGGACGAGGACAGATTGCCTCAGGTCCTGGGTGCTCTGTGATGTTATCACAAGGAAGTCTTTGTTTGGTCGCGGAAATGTGTGTAATTTCCCCCTCTGCTTCCTCGTCAATGCATTCCAGATCAGACAACACTGAGCGACGTGGTTTGGGTTTGTTGTTGGTAGTTTTAGTGCAGGTCTTGGTGCTCTTCTGTTTCTTCTGTCTGTTCTTCACATGGCCAACCTCTTTGTGGAGGTAGGGAAGAAGCTCCTGTTCGTAACGACATTCCCCCTAAACACACACACACACACACACACACACACACACACACACACACACACACACACACACACACACACACACACACACACACACACACACACACACACACACACACACACACACACAGACACACACACAGACAGAGAAAGAAGAGTTGTATAAGAAGACCCACTCTGAAGGAGAACCAAGGTCAAGGAGCTGTAATCAGCCTCTGGACCAACACATGTGACCCTCAGGGCGGCAAATTCACCAATCAAACAGCTTGTCAGTTCATACAGTTATCTAATCAAGAAGTGCCCTATGAAGAGATGTCACATTGCAGCCACCCTTGGAGCATCGTAATCATCCCACACCTGTGCAAACCACATGACGTGGAAGTGATTCATCTATAGTGGTATCCTGCCTGGGCCGACAGGGTGCCATCGAACCGGTGACCAGCAGCATGAAGATGCTCAGTGAGTATAAAAGACAGAAGTCTAATGTGGAGTGAGAAAAGGCCTGAGTGTGTATGGAGAGCTAAATATTGGTTTCTCCTAGAAAGAGGGCAATAAAACTGGATGAGAGGATGCTTTAAGTCACTGCATTAAAGAAGCTTCACGTTTAATATAGTGGGAATGATCTGAATAGGGACAAATGGCCCCAAGCATTGCTAAAAATGGGGAACTGTGGATTGAAGAACTTCCTACGGTGAGATTGGTCATAGCTCACATGAAAAATTGCCTTTTTCCGCCGTTATAAAACTGAAAATGTGCATTCGTGCAGGCCACTAAGCTTTATGCATGCCACTTACACAGGCCACGCTTAGAGTTGGTAAGACCCTGCTGTGTCTTTGCACTCACAGGTCACTAAGTGTAGATGAACTGTATGGTGTCGACTGCCCACTGTTCCACCTATTCCACTCAGTGTCAAGCATTTACTGTAAAACTGTTCTTTATATTAGACCTGCTTTAAACACCAACTCAGACGTGTAAGTATCTTTAAAATCAAACCATTTCTGTCTGCCACTGACCTGGTGGCCAAAATGTCATTCTGTCTTGATTTTCTTTAACTCTCTATACTCAGCATTCAGTAAAAGAGCACTTAATTGTCACAACAAGCCTTTTCACTGGAACTACAAAAATACAGTTCAAAATGCATTTTATCCCTCAGGTCCTTGAAAGGAATGACACCAACCTTTGTTTCCGATGTTTGCGATTTACGTACAAGGACGTACAATTATGTAAACAGAAAAAACTATTGGCGCAGTTCCTTAGTCTACATTTTCTACAAAGGCTGACTGAATTTGTCATCATGGCACTGAAACTGTAGAATGAACCCACACTGCTACTTCTGTACTTTCTTTTATATGTCAACTAAAACCTCACCATGTTAAACGGAAGTAACTTAGAAAACTATCACTTATTTATTCTAATAAGTGGCCCTAATATTCCATAATATTAAAATAAGACTAAGAGTCTACAGCAGGGCTGCCAGACTGGGGCCCGTGGGCCAAAGTTGACCCACCATAAGGTTTAATTTGGACCTCCAGATGTTTATGTTTATGTTAATATTAAATTGCTGTTTTATTTATTAAGAGGTAAAAAAATGCTCTTCAAATAAGCAGGATTCCTAATAATTTTTCATAATCTGAGCAGAGTGGACAGAGTCACAATTTGCACAGGAAATCAGTCAATTAAGGGAATTTGGGATCAATTTTGGATTTTAATAATACAATACAATAGATGTTTGCTTTTGGCCCATGACCCACTATTACGTTTCAGTTTTGGTCCTCCAAGGGGAAAAGTTTGGGCACCCCTGGTCTACAGACATGCAAGCAGCTCTGTGAGACTACAGAGGCACAGGGGTGCTGTGAGCTAAATGCGTGTGTCAGCATGCATGCTCACAATGGTAATGCTAACATGTTGATGCTTAGTAAGAATCTATAAATTACATCTGAGGGTGATGGGAATGTCATAAGTTTTGTAGGTATTTAGTCACAAACTCAAGTACTATACAAAGTAAAATTTTGACTTGTTGGTAGCGCTAGATGAAAAGTTAAAATATCAAAGTGATTACAATTCATCCTGAGGGGGGCATGAATGTATGTACACACTTTCCTGACAATCCATCCAATAGCTGTTGAGATATTTCAGTCTGGTTGTCGGTTTGACATTTTGAAAGCAACAAGGATGTTTACGGATTATTTTTAAAATGTTTTATTTACTTTTAATTAATTGTGCAGCTGGACTCATTAGGTGGTTTTGTAATATTGATTTATTGCAGGAAAAGTGTTCCTGTCCTCTTTATGTGGCATGAATTGAATGAACTAATACATTTCAAGTGTTGATCAGTAGGTTTCTACTTTAAGAGCTGGTGCCGGTATGAAGCGTAGTGTGTGTCATCAGCGGTTTTTATTGTTCACTTGTTCACCCATCTATCACACTTCTAATCAACGCGCTATTGTGGTCCACTTGCCAACATACTTATGAGAAAAAAATCTTTTGCAATGTTCAGTATGTACCAGAGGGATACAGAAGAAGGTCAGTGAACACTGTATGTGAGACTTGTTATTGTGCATTATTGTGTATGCTAGGACTTACTGGGACACTTAATAATGGAACGTAGTTAATGTTATTAAATCGATGAAGATGAAGATACTTATTGTGTGTGAGATTCATTCTGGGAAACAAGGAAACATTAAGTGGCAGTAGGCCATTATAAAGGCTGTAAAACATACAATATATATTAGCAATGTTGTGTTTACGACTAAAGACATATGTAATCTAAACAACTAAGCAAGCAGCCCTTTCATTAAACTTGTCTTACGTTCTACTTTGATATCTCAAGAAGAACTTTGTGTGCTGTTTACTGTAAAAAGCTAACAAAAGTATAATATCAACATCTGAACAATTATTTCTTTACACTGTGAACTACTTCCCTTAATGCTTTAATTAGACAACAGCTGGAGGTAAACATTGAGCAGCCTGCAGGCGTTATGATCTGTGCAGCGAGAGCATGAAAGACACTTCTCAATGAGGGTGGAATACTTCCGACAAGCGAGGCTTTCCATTGAAAACATGTAATCTAATTGGTCCGGAACTGAAGACAATACAAATACTTTCAATGGTGTTTCCCTGTTGAAAAAAACAGAACAAACAATAGAAGCTGACGGAGGTTAATGTCGTCGAATCATGTTACAACAAAATCTGATGGAAAAGAAAACTATTTAACAGCTATAATATTTTAAAAACTAACACATTCTACTGGAAATAGGATTGATATGTAAATAAATAAGGGAGAAATTAAAAAAAAGAAATGTATGTCAAATAAAAGAAAGATGTTCTTAAATATAAGGGTGTTTCTAAATTTAGGTGTGGATGAAAAAGAGTCTAAGTTATAAAGCAGGAGATGAATAATTATTGAGTGAGAAGATTTTATTATATTTTTAACCATTTAAATTACTGGCATTCACATATAATATTGACAAATAAAAATATCAGAAAAATTGTGGTTTTCTTAGCTGATCACAACAGACCTGTTTACAGCTGTATTTAGTTTTGAACATAATTTAAAAATGCATTATTTACTAATCATTTAAAGTCCCGATCAATATTTTCTCACCATTTAAATGACTGGATACTCGCATATAAAATTGAAAGATTTGGATTTCTCAGTTTCATAATCATCATAATCATAATAAAAAATAAAGGCCGGTTTATGTATGTGTTTACATTTTACTAATCAACTTTAAAAAATATATTTATTAATAATTTTACATCCCAATCAATCAAAAAGTAAATGACTATCATAATCACACAGAAAATTAGGTTTATTCGAAAAAAATTAGGGTACTATTTATGTTGTAGGTTTAAACCTGTGTTTACAATAATTACAAAAGTAAACAAGGTTTTAACAGTATAATAAAATATAACTTCCCATTCATTCATTCTCTGCATTTGACCCATCTGAAGTACTGGGAGCAGTGGGCAGCCCATTTTCCGTGCCAGCGAACCAACTCCAGTAACAGTAATAGTCAATCAGTTTTGGAGAGATGGCAGTTTCTACAGGTGTAAATAATAAAACGAATGATTTCAGTGAGTCCTAGTATTGTGCATGCTAGCTCTCTGTCACACTGTCATAACTTACTGGGACACTTGAATAGAATGTTCGTTAATGTTACTGCTAACACCTGGGCCTTTTCACCTGTGTGACGGGTTCCAAATGAACAACTGGAATATCAAGTAAAACTGAAATCACAGCTACGACAAGCATACATGAACAACAGGTCTCAACAGAAAGACTGTTTACTGACATAACCTGACCTTGTGGTGTAACTGTACTGCAGTTAGTGTTATTGTAATATTGTAAGAGTACAGCCCTAAATCAGAGAAGTAAATCATAGTTGTTGTTTTTTTGAGGGTAATCCATCTTCCTTAAATCCTTAAAACTCCTGTATCCCTCGGACACAGCTTTGCTCATAGCTGTCCACTTTGCACAAAGACCAAGGCCACAGCACGTCCTTTAAACGTCACAATCACCATGGAAAATGGAACAAAGGCTTTTAGGTATTCAAGGATTCACTGAGGGAATGTGTCATCATTTTCCTCCTTCAGAGATACATTTTAAAATCTCCTTTCTTGTGAGTTTTACCACCCTTTCTCGACACACTCGAAATTGATTCACACAAGATTAACCGTAACCCCTGGCGCACAATTAATTATGGATCAGATTAAGGCTCTGGATCTAGAGATGCCACAGACTGAAATAAAGTTGATGACGAGGGTAAAGAGAGCACTGCAAAGGCTGGAAGGGTCAGAGGGTTTGTGTTGTCTCAGACTGCATGATGAAGGAAGCAGCAAAGTGGAAACCCCTCTTTGTTGATCATCTCATTGCACTACAATAACCATACAAATTTGCTGCTCATGAACACGCACAAAGAATGCAGCATCCATATTAATCCGGCTGCATGACTTTGTTTCCAAACATGGTACGGCTCAAACCGTTAGAGGCTGATCGACAGACCAACACCTACGAAACATTCTCAGTGTAGGACTTTTACTTTATGTTTACAGTGTGGTATTGTTTCTTTTAATTAATTCAGAATCTGAATAATTCATCCAACACTGATGATACAAAAAAGAAAAAGTACATCTGAACACGTATAAAAAAGGCACTAGAGAGTACGAGGCTTTCAAAAAGCTACTTCTGACGTCAGCCAGTTATACTAGATGTGCAACAATGTCAAGCTTGAATATGTCCAAATGTCGACACAACACTTATACTAGAAGCTCTCAAAAATATGATTTTGTTACCAAAATAAATGTATCATAAGAAATAAAAAATATTAATAATAAATAAAGATTCTGTCTTCATAGTTTCTGGCAAATTAATACATTTTTCAAATAAACAATTAATTCTATAATTGAAGCAAAATAGCGTATTAAATGCAGTCACGTACTTAAAGGTATAAGTTACTGGAACTATCTTGCACGCAAAACGAGTCAATCAAACTTAAACTATCCTACATGAAATAACAAATCATACATACTAATAATCAGTAATATGTGAATAATAACTCTGTAATTTACTCCCACTTTAAATATTTTTTTAAACGGTTTTGTGTTTGTTTGTTTTGTTTGTTTTGCATCTGTTTTTTGATCTCCCGCTCTCCCCTACCACAGCCTAGTACGCTATACATGTAGGTCATCACGGCCCGACCTACTTCCAACATCCTGGCTTTATGTAACAGTTCAGAGAAGCGTTACATAATCGCAGGAGAGGAGGCCTGCATGCCTGCCTGTGTCTCCTCGTCATAAAAGAGAAAAAAGCAGCGCAAAGAAAGGCACAGCATGGTTTTGAACTCGGCCAGACAGAAAAATTGCCTCAAATAAGACGAATGGCTTCTAGAGTGCAAGGCTGTTAGTGAGAGGGAGGGGGAGGGTCCATGTGGGCTAGGTTTAAAAGAAAAATAAAGTGGGGAATTTCATTTAGGTGCTTCATTTTTTGCTCTTCCTCTGATGTTTCTGGAGAAAAGGGTCAGAAGGCCTCTCTGCAACTTCAGGCCAAGAAAGTAAGCCATGGCTGACGTTATCCCTCCCAGAGTGAAGATGAGCGTAGATCAACAGCAACAGGCTGCTTGTGTGTCAACGGAAACACATCTGTTTGCACAAAGCGTGGATGTCTACTGTATGTAGGCTGTAAATAATGAAATTCATCGTCACAACAGTAAAATAGTTTATGACGGTAAATTTGTCAAATTAAAGGGGAAACACTGCAACGCTGGGCTGCACAAATATGTTTTATGAACATGTTTAAAATTTTGTACTGAAAAACATATTTGTGGGTTAAGAAAAACGGAAATGAATTAAAACAGACTTGCTTATTTAATCAAAAAACATTTTTTCCTAGAAATGTTGAATAAATTATAATAGTAAATTAATTTGGAAGAAAGTTAAACTATGGCTCATGTTTTTTTCATTTTGGCAGATCCGGATCCAGGTTTGGTCCCAGGAAACTCTCTCTATGTTTGTCTTTTAATTTACTACAGCGCTCACTTGAATGGAATAATTTATGCACAACTTGATGCAGACGTAGATTAAACATGTCTAAACAGTTACAATGATTAAAATAACAGATTTAGAAGATGTGCAGCTTTAGTGAAAGTGGTGTGATGTGACTAACTACACTTACTCAAGTACTGTATTTATGTTTAATCTTACGGGACTTATACTTAACTGTGTTTCCATTTTAACCTACTTTATACTTCTACTTCACTAAATTTCAGGTATAAATATTGTACTTTTTTTTGACAGCTGTATTTACTTGATGCTTTTCAGATTGAGATTTTACATTTAAAACAAATATGCGATTAGTTTATAAAATGATGCATTGTTACAGATGAAATTATCCAACAGTATATATTGTGAGTAATAGCAGCTTTACCTCCACAAGCAACAACAAAAAAATGCATCAGTAATATATTATGTATAATAATACAACACTGACAAAGATCATTGTGCTTGTTTTGATACTTAAAGTACATTTTTAAGATAATACTTGAAGGACTCATGAAAGTAAAAGATCTGAATACATCTTCCACCATTACTTAAAGGAGGTACAGTAATATATGTCATCTCTGAGTGCTGTTAAGTGTTATGGAATAATTTACTGTATATGAAATATACATGCAGCTACACTTGCTAAAGGTAGGTAGGTAGGTAGGTAGGTAGATTGGTTGGTATTTAATTGATCCTCGAGGTTGAAATGAAGGCTTTACAGCCAAGCCACTTCACTAATTAGGGTTCAGGTTTATGTAATTTGTCTTCCACATACTGTTTTGTTTGTTTTTACTTTTGGAGACTAAATAATGTCATACATGGCAGTTTCTACAGGTGTAGTTTTTTTTTTTTTTTCCCACATTTGGGTCAGATCAATGGTTTAAACTGACATTATCCTTTGTCTGCTGGGGTTCCTCATGACCTGCATTCATCCTGAAGGTGTGTGAGACATTAGCTGCCATCTTGTGCTGTAATCCAGTTTTGTTTTTACAGGTGGGATAATTTTTTCCTTCCCATGTATGGTCAAAACTGACAATGCGGGGGGGAGTAATAAGAGCCCACTTGTTAGTTTTAGCCAATAGTCAGTTTTATCGTAATCTCTGACCCAATTTCAAGGATTTGGACAAATTCAGGGGTGTTATCGATGGCATAATCTTATGAAATGGCAGATGGTTAGAACAGGAGGCCTGGAACACTCTTAGAACAGACATTTGGAAGTGATATGGTGTGTAACGGGAAGGGGATTGGCAAAATGTAAACAAGGTCAAAAAGAGTAATGGGAGTAGTTCAATTACATGTCTGATACTGCTTGTTAAACCACATCGTAGCAACAGTGCCGTTTTTGGGTCTGAAACATTCTGTACATTCATCGTGATGACAACTGTTTTGTGACTAGTTCTAATAGATCTGATGACCTCTGTGATATGACTGATCCTTTCAAGCTACCAGAAAAACAAAATTTGCTACCAATTAGCAGCTTAGACTATGAACTACACTATGCTACTAAGTCAGGAAAGAGTGACATCAAAGTCTAATCTAATTTGAGAGGAATAATAAAAGAGGAAAAACAGCCTGGACAACTACTGTTGATTATAAATGAACATTAAATTAAAAAAAACAGCACAGTAAAACCACAATTACACCATGGAGCCTGTTTATAATGCCAGGAATTTGCCTTCCAGGTCAAAGCCATGAATGTAGTAACTCACAATCGCGTGTTTGCATGCGACTCAGCTGACTCCCTTCAGCCTGCTGAATTTATAAAGTTTGCTCTTCTCTCGCATAAACACACAATACTGTCTCTCTTTTATGAAACAAGGCAACGCTCATGTAAGATGTTTGAGGTTTAGTTTTCCTTCTTCATCCCAGAGATTGGGACTACATTAGCTTATATTTGACCAGAGATTTGGCTCAGAGAATCAATACACAGCATTATTATCATACATTAACACCCTGTTCTCACCTCATTTTCCTCTCTCATGCCATCTATGAGCTCCATCACCTTAATGTAGTGGTGGCAGCGGAGGGAATGATTAACAACATGGGTAGGAAGTGCTTTATGCTGCCAGTGTCTCCATTCCCACAAAGACAGCTCTCTGGATGGTGGTCCGCTTTTAGAAAATTCCTCCTTTGGGACATAAAATTACATGAATATATTAAGAAAATAACAAAAAAATATATTTTTTTATAATAAATAGCAAAATAGTAACACTATATTCAACCAGTAAAAAAAAAAGACACATAGGAAGGAATATAGCAAGGTTCATATTATTTTTTTTTACACATAACTAAGATTTAGCCACCTGAAATCACAGAAACTGTCAAAAACAGGAGCCAGTGCAGAATTGCACTTAGATGCTGTACCATTAATGACTCCAAATAATATCTATATTCTTATGATCTATAGAGATCAATTCAAAATATCTAAATTTCATTTCACTATCATTTTTTTCTGCAAAATGTTATGGAGTCAGTTCAATTAATTAATTTTATTAAAATATATTACAGTTTTGACTGACAGGAGTCTTAGTCAATCATTTCAGTAACTTCTTTGTAAACTATATTATATTATATTATTATTATTATAATATAATATTATTATATATTAATACTTTTAATGGATTATTTCCTTATTAAATGTCTTCAGTATACCGGCCTCAAAATGGGCACTTTATCTTCATTTACATTGTCTTTCACTGTCTGGTACTTTTCAGACCTGCACAGGAAACAAACAAACAAAGACAGAAAAAAGAAAGAAACCTGAGGTGGTAGATCACTGGGTAGGGACATGAAGTGTGACTGTTTCAGGGTTGGATGAGCTTCATCCTCCTCCAGCCTCATGGTGGACGCCCAGAGGGAATATTCAGTGCTGCTCAGAAACCCATCTGTCGTTGCACCGCCCTGCCGAACTACCACATCAGACACACACAAACTCTGAAATCCAGTTTCTTTAATAAAATAATCTCCAGTTTGAATAACCACAATCTCCTCGTGCTGCATCACTCACTCAGGTTTTGAGGGTGGATGAGTGAGGCCCGTCCCTCAGAGTGGGATCGTCGACCCCTGACAGACCGCCTGCTGCTCTCCTGGTGGTCAAACTGGCCACAGGTAATATGCATCTTATGCAGGGTGGGGTTCACCCCCTCGGGCAGCATGCGAGGACTGTTAGGATACATGTGGAACCCGTTCCTGTTGCCGATAATAGACTTGTGCACACTGCGCTTGTTGCTCTGGCTCTGGTTGTACGTCTGAGGAACACAAAGGTTAGAAGTTTGGTATAAGGGGTTTTGTGGATGCGTGTGGGGTTAATCAGCTCTGAGAATTTAGCGGAGCATCAAACCTTTAATTTGAGGGTCCATGGCTCAACACTCACCTTCTCCTCGCGTCCCTCAGCCAGGATGACAACAATGCGTCCCTGCCGCTTACGTCCAGTACGTCCCATTCGCTGCACCAGGCGGATGGGGTTCTTCTGGGCATCGAAGCAAACAATGAGGTCCACCTCTCCGATATCCAGCCCCTCCTCCCCCACACAGGTCGACACCAGCGTGTTGAAGCCTCCCTGACGGAACCTGTGCACCACCTATAACACACACATGAACAGCACAAACCCAGCTATACACAGTAAAAGTATTCAAATCTGTATCTTTATCTAAACTCATGTGTCTGGTATGTGAATATGTATCTGTGCTAGCTCCTTAAATTGAAGCCATTGTGTGCAGGACACACTGTACATTTACATCATGAATACTGCATTATCATTTAGAGGAAATGGCACAGACTGTCTGCAGAGTAATTTCAGTGCTAGGCAACCAGCAGTTAAATCAATGCAACGGCCGTCACACCCTTTTTTGTTGTTTGTCTTACATGGTACACTTCTACAGTGCCATAAATGACAGCATTCAACTTGAGAATATCCCCAACAAGGACAAAGAGAGACAGAAGTTTAACTTAAATCCCCAGATGAAGGATGAACAGTAGACTCTTTACTCTCTGTTAAAGGATTGTGACATATATACAAATAGTATTTTAATTTCTTCTCTCACACCATTGACCGCCCTCTGATCGCCTACCACATTACTGAACAAGCTCAAACTTTATATATTATACTCAACTTTAGTAAGTTCAATTCATCATCATTTATCATTTATGTAATTCATTGAAGTTTAAATTTAAGTTTTGACACTCTCCCCTTTAAGGCTCATTTTCAGCTTGATGTAGGCTTTTAATAAGCTTTTCTTGACAATTTTGCAACTATATTCCCTTTTTATATTTCTTAATTTACTATATATTCCTGATCTTACTGTAAATCTGCCCTTTGATAAATAAAAAAAAGGCATATAGTTTGTACCTCCAGTTGCTCCTTTTGGGTGAAGCCTTTGACTCCCTTCCCTGCTGAGGCCTGGCCCATAAAGGTCATGACCCTTATCAGAGGAGCATGGCGGTTCAACATTGCTGCAATCTCCTGTACGCTCTCACGGAACGATGAAAAGATCATCACACGCGTGCTTACTTCTTGAGGACCTGAACCCGGACATTAATGAGACAGAAGAGAAACAGTAACCATGAGCGTATTTCTTACAGTACTTTAAAAAATAATGTCTCTTTGTTCTGTGAAGTGTAAACATGATCCAAAATCATAAGGTTTTAAACATTGTTTGGACACAATCGCTAAAAACGCAATAAGACTCCAATGTTACGTCATTGGAGTCTTGAACTGCTAGATGTTCTCTCTTTGCTGTAGATAGAACATAGAGAGAATTATAGATCTCAGCTTGAACTCAGAACAATCATTTCACATATGAGTCACAGCATAGCACAGCTATAATAAGAAAATCACCATTATTGTCTCCTGAGCTCTGAGCCCACAGTCTGAAATGCTGCACCACCACTTCCTCCAGTTTCTCCAGTTTGGGGTGACTGTAAATGAACGGCTCATCTTGACCTAGGAGTATTAATCATAAAGGATTTTAGTGTATTTATGTATTCTTTAGCTATATTTTAAATTACTTTGTAAAATGAGGCATTCTGTTTCTAAATTGGAAAAAAGTGGTATCAAGATACCTCTCATCAAAATGCCACATTCAACTACGTAAGAAAGCCTCAGAAATGTGACTGATACGATATGAATGAGTGCTCAGGTACCCGCTGATGGCTTCACAAACATTGCTTCAAGCTCATGGTAAAGGTCTATAAAGGTGGGAGTCCTCTGCAGCTCATTCCTGGCCCTGGACATCTCTGAATCAAACAAAGCATGGAGAGTCAATATCACATGACACATTATTTAGTGTACATACACTGATGGACAATGCTGGGAGTGAGGGTGAGTGGAATTATGTTCTCTAATGCAGCAAAGCCTTTACTCTGTGGATAAAGTGCAACTAAATACACTGAAAGCCTGAGGGTAAGGTGAGTGACCTCTGGATCCGTCCATGATTCCCTGGATGTAAAAGAATAGCGATCGGAGCCCCATCTGCATCAGCAGCTCGTAGCCATGGTACAGGCTGATACAAAGGGCGAAGTCGCCCTCCAGCATTCCCTGCTGCGGACCCTGTAGAGAGCAGGAGAGCATGTGAGTCCACAAGACCATTGTAAACACCAGTAAAAAAAATGATTAAGAAAGGCATCAAATAAATCAAATTAAATCAAAATAAAAGGTTGTGGGCTTTATGTATATGAACTGTTGCATTAACTACATTTCAAAATACATCAATGCATTACTGTCATTTGCAAATGAAACCTCATTAACAAAAATAATGCATTAACCTCATTTCTAAAATAGTATTTAAAATTGTAGTGTTATGTAATGCACACCCACTAAATATAAACACTGATGCTTCATTCAGGTAGCCATGCTTATTCTCGCTTGGACAGAAAATCCATAAATTTTCCTTCAACTACCAGACAATGCTCTAAAAGAAAATACAGTAAAAATCAAATTATCTAAATGAATCATATTTAGAAAGCGTCTAGATCTCACTGCGTGATTGATTATTTTCTACAGCCTTGGGCACATCTTTATGGGGCATGCATATGAACATGTAATATCATATAATGTAAAACTGCATTCTATAGCATTTATATTTCACACAAACAGCACCAATTTTAAATAAAGCAGAGTCCGTGCCTTGATGTTTGGTGGTGGGTTCTTGCGGAACTGGTCCCTGGCGAGGATGAGCTGGTATTTGCCGAGAGTCCGCAGGTCTTTGTGTGCCATCACCCGGTTCTGGACCAGACGAGACATGAATTTCTCCAGCACCTGGCAGGAAGAGTAACAAACAAACAAACAAAATAATAAGCCATTTCTTGTGTTAAGGGATAATGCATCAGACTGACTAGCTAGCACTGTACTGACACAAAGCTGGAAAGTACAGACAGACAGACAGACAGACAGACAGACAGACAGACAGCACACACACACACACACACACGTTACCTCTCTTACCAAACAGACTGAATGGAAGTCTTACTTTAACAACAGACACAGAACATTCAAATATGCTGGATTCTTTCTACCTTCTGTCCTCATTTCCTTATAATGGGAAGAGAGATCAAACTAGTTTTTCAAACAGACAATTTTAACAATATCTATTCATCCTCACGACTGCAGATAATGGGAGGATGGGTCATTACAATTTCAATTTCAGCTGTGTGGAACAAACTGCTCTAGAAACTGAAAAGGATGAAAGGATGCCCTGAAAGAAGCCCTTTGGAATCAATTGGTAGACATTTTTTGTTGTTGTTGTTGTAACAGATGAGAGGCAATTTACTTGTTTCGATTTGTGAATGGGGCTTGTGTTACGAAGTGGAAACAAAGCTTAATTGTAATATGATGTGTAAGTAGGCCAAATGATGTCAGCTTATGTTTATACAAATCTCACATTTTCCCCCCATTCATAGTTTTGTAACAAAATAGTTTTATATTACAGGATATACTCAAATTTTGAATATATTTTCTATGAATTATATTTCAATACAAATATATTTTCTATAGTAGTTTTAAAAGCACCTCGACAGTCATCACTGGGATAACAGGTGATGATAATTTTCGAGCATATACTTTAAGATGCACACATACATTACATAAAAAATATTCTTCCCAAAACACTTTGACCTTGTTATTATTATTTTTTTTTATAGATGTTATTTTATTTTACAATTAAGCATCACAGTCAACAAGAATCCCAAACCCTTCACTGCTACATGTGACACAAAAAAGAAATAAAAGGAGAACGAAAGAAGGAAAATAAAAAATATGTTGTTTGCCACTATTCAATCTGGCTTGAGATATATTTTATAATATACATTTTATAATCACATCGGAACTGGAACAACAAGTAATCATGCAGTAATTATAAAACAATTGAAATTTCCTCTTCATGTAGGGACTGAGCTATTCACCCAATTTCCGCGAAACCTCAGCCTGCTTCTCTGAGGTGAAATGCGAGTGCACTTCATACAGCTTACAAAGACAAAACCAAAGGGTTAAATAACAACCCATAATTCCCCCCGACCTTTCAGAAAACATCAACAGCTCTATCACCCAGTCCTAAACCTTTTATTATGAGACCGTAAGGAGGTCAGACCATATGGTTAGGGATTGTGCTTCATCACATATGATATGGCTTAAACTTGAAAACAGTGACTTAACAGGTGATTGCTGAAGAAGATCTATTGAGAAAATGAGGAGTATGGTAAAAGTGTGTGCAGTGGAGAGAGATTACAAGAGTTTAGAGTATGGGGCAGAAAAGAGGATTATTTGACCAAAAGGTTGAGTTTTTAAAAAAATAAATTCCTTCTATTAATTATGCCTGAAAAGCACACTACTATTATTCCCCGTGCTTAATATTTTTATTATTCTTCTGTACGTTTTTCGGTTGACTACCCCCGCCGCAGTTTTGGTCGCACATACACAAAAATGTACCAAGACATGCAGCTCAGTGGGGACATTAGTGCTATGACTTTTCTAAGCGTTTCGCCAAATAGTTTGCAGACAAATCCCCAAAAACCGGGCCAGAAAATGAATGGGTGTGTATTGGTAGAATGCTCGCAACTAGAGTGTGTGACATTAGAAAAATTTGTCAAATGTCACTGTACAGAAATAATTTATAAATAGAAACGTAGGTAAATCTGTTGGGGTCGCAGTGATAACACTGTTGAAGCTGTCAGACAAATAGCTTTGGCGGAAAACGCACTGATGCGCCAGCAACACCTTCTCTCAACCCCATCTACTCCCATGTTAATTGGACAGAAGAAATTTTGAAAGGAGCTTGTTGCACCTGTTCTTCCTCAATCTCCCAAGGTCACATTTTTTAACTTACGCCACTGAAACTCTGCAGTCCTATGGTCAACAAGATGACGATGCTCACGGTCTTTTCGGTTTTCATTTCGGTCGTTCCTTGCCAATGGTTCGAGGGGGTTCATTTTGAGATTTTCTGTCTCTCTCAGGAGTTAGAGACTTAACTGCTGTGGCGTAGCCCTGGTTACCAAGACAACCAAAGAAAACACACACACACACACACACACACACACACACACACACACACACACACACACACACACACACACACACACACACACAATTTCCTTTTTCTAGTTCATCAGTACCGTGGGGGTAACAGAGAAATCATTACCTTTTAAATAAACCGCAATACTGAATGTAATAAAACAGATATTGGAAGTGCTGGTGAGAAATACTTTCAATGTGTAAGTAAATGCAGTTTATTCAGATGATTCAGTTATAGTAACATGGTAGAAAATGATGGACCACTGATGGGGAGGAGGTTTAATTGCATAATGCACTTCTAATGTAGCACCGGCTTCAGGAAAAGATAGGCCAGATGGGCCAGAAAATACTGTAGGTTTTTCAATAAATGTTACATAAGAGGAGAAAAATGGATGGAAACTCGGCTCCAACTTTATTCTCGACCATCAGCGGCAGATGCTACTAACAGCCAGGAAGGACCAGGTTGGATTTACAACACGTTGCTCATGTGAACTGAGAAATACCCTTGTCCGTAGTTTGATCACATTTGGTCTAGAAATCGTCTAAAATAATGATAAATGGCCATGACAAGTTACTAAGCCCAAAGCGATGTCTCCAGATGTGTTACAGCTAAAAATACTCGGACATGCTTTAACACTTGTCTTTGTTTATCACACTTTGGTGGCAGCTAGATTTTCTTCTTTCAGAATAGTAGTTACCCTTGTTACATGAATGGGTGATGAAAAAAGGAGAGGTGCAATTCAACCCTGTACCATAACAAGGACATGTGCCTAAGGATTATTTGATGAATTAGCATGAAATTTGGTGGACACAGTCCTGGTCTCCAGAGAATGACTCCTGATGACTTTGGTGATCCCATGACTTTCCAACTAGCACCACCAACTCAATTTCTACTTGTCCACTTGTCCGACAACACTGTAGGTTCGTGACAGGATTAAAGCTAACATAGTTAGAATGCTAGCATGCCAACTGCACACATTAACATTGATGTGTTGTTATTTATGGACCAATTTTTTAGGATAAAGGGGGACTGGATAAAACCAGTCTAACACATATACAGAGACAACCATACATGCTCACAATCGCTCGTACAGGGCAATTTTAAGTCACAAAATATAATGTAATCTAATTAACTAACACTGCATTTTAAATGTCCAGATGTTAACAAGCTACAGTAACAGTATGGATGCTGACAAGCTATATCAGCATGCAGTCAGGATGTTAATATTTAATAGTAATATGTAATATTCATATTACCACACTAATGTTGGCATGTTAGCATGCATAGCTGAAGTACAACTAAGACTGATCAAAGCATGACCAAGTCTAATATAGCCACTGTAGAGAGGATTCATCTTTTTTTTTTCAGATAACATTACGGCCTTTCCTCTAGCGCCACCGTTTGGCCAACTTAACTTCACAACTACTGGTAGGCATCTACGAGGAACAAAGTTGTTTCTACATTATTTTATCAATCCAAGTTATTTGTTTTCTGGTGTAGAGTATAATAATCACGGCCTCATTACTGTAGTCTTTAATCCTATTAATGTATTTGTGAGTTACAAGAATTTAGCTTGTAGTTCTGCAAACTTTTTGATTCTGAATCAGTGGTAATATGAGATCTTCTGTAGTGTGTAAACTATACACGCATGTCTGAGTGGTTGTGCGTGTCAGAGAGAAGCAGACAGCAATGAGAGAAAGGACCACAAGCTGGCTGCATCTCTCTCTTTCTAGTTAATTGAAAGGTGGAGCTCAATCAGGGAATGTGTACGCAGCCGTTTGGACCAGATTATGAGATTACAAAGAACCAGATTAGTGAGGTTGCTGTTTTTGTCTGGTTGGAATGTGGAGTGAAATGGCTCTAGTTCAAGCTTTCTGCGCTCTGGTCTGTACCTGTCCAATACTTGCACCTAAGGCTGCAACTAAGGATTAGATTCATTATAAATTAATTTGCTGATTTGTTTAGTCTATAAAACAATAGAAAGCAATGAAAAAAATGCCTATAACAATATCCTAGAGTACAAAGTGATGTCATTATTGTCTTGTTTTAAAAGTCCAAAGAAAGACAAAGGTATTGGCATTTAATGATGAAAACACAATTATTCATTATTCAATTATATTTTTCTGATTGAATAATCATTGCTTTACTTTTATCACATCATATGGCAAATTGATCCATCATCTTGCATGGCAGTTATTGTGCCATTAATCTATGTTTAACAGTTTGTTTATATACTTGTTTAGTTACTTGCATAGCATTTGTTCATTCATTCACAGGAATACATTAAATCTAAGAAGCGTGAAGTGCCCTACACTTTCTATATCTTTTGGTGCTGAATGGGAGTGAATCTGGCTGTTGCGTTATGACAAACCAGGGATTTATAAAAGCACATGAAAAACCTGTCACAATAACCAAGAAACAGATGGGAAATGTTAAATAATTAATGAGGGAGAAAGAAAACAATGGGAAGTGGAGAAAAAAGGAATGAGATTACTCCTTTGATAAAATGACACAATGATATATGATTAAAATATAATTATGTAACATCCAGTTTGACATTGATTTAAATGAACACCTTTGATACATAAATGGTGTATTGATGAAGGGGTAATTGAGTTCATATGGCAGTGGGGGATGCTTCTTATAAAAAAGGTTGGGAACCACTGCTGTACAGTATTAGAACAGGTAAGATGTTGTGAAGATCTTTACATTAATTTGAAGCAGAAAAGGCTTTAATGCTCAAAACAGAAAC